GTTTTCTTGCACTTATGAAAGATTCACAGGAAGTGACCTAAAGCAGGCCCGTTCATGCATCTCGTTGAGGAAGACGACCCACTTGGGTCATTTTAAGAATCTATTACAGTTAAGAGATTGTGGATTTTGCTTTTTGAGACGTTGGTGTCACACTGTGTACGAAGGCTCCTAAAGATTCAGATTCTGCCTTTTTTTGCTTTAATTTGCCTAAAATGAGTTTTCCTGACAAATAATTCATTAGCATATTTCCGTTTTACAGGTTTTTAGAAGTAAACATGTAGCTTCATGATAGTAGTTCAGATTTACTTGATTGCAGTTTCAGTATTTTGTGGCTCCGTACCTTTTAGGATGCTAATAGTGTGCGTTTACATACTCAGCGCCGACGTTGTTAGCCTGTTGGAGTAACTCACGACTGGTTTGTTGACTCGTACACATTAGCTGACCGACGCACCGAGCGTGTTTCGCACTTCTGTAGCTGTGTCGTCATAGCGACGCACAGATGTGAAGCGTTTTCGAGCACGTCTTCCCAGCTTTAATCGATGTCCATGTGGTTAAACTCTTACTGTAAAGGCCTGACTCTGGTGAGGTAATCGCTCACAGCGAACATCTTGTCCGCATTATTTTTGAGTTATTTTGTTTTTCTTTAGTAATACAGCGCAGACTTTTCAAATCAGTCTGCACTTCTAATTGCATTACCAGGAAACGATAACTTAACTTTGACCAAGAAAATAAAAAAGTAGAAGCGGACACCGCGTGGTGAATTTATACAGTGAAAGACTAAAACGGTCCAGCATGCTTTGAAAACAGCTGACAGTAATGTAAAGTGTGTCTGAATTGCAGTAATGGGCTAACACGCACACACACAAAGAAAGCCCTGCGATTTAATGCTTTAGGGTCTGATTCTAATATAAGTATATCTGTGTTACATTTACAAATTTGCCTGCCACCAGTCTCCATTCCTCCTAAAGCTGCTCTCTGTCTAGAAGGCTCTAGGGCCTGCTGAGCCAGGCTGACTGAGACGGGTAGCTAGCAGCATTGATCTGGCTGCAGTAGCCAGGGGAATATAAAGCAGGGCAGGGGCTTAAAGTCCTGAGCCCCCCCCATCCTACCCCCAGGGAGGAGTCTTCGCTGCATAGGGAGAGGGCCATGAACTGCAAGCTGCTTCTCATTCCCTCCTTTCTTTCCTCGCCTCCCTGTGCTGTTGCATCCATCCTCCTCCACCTCTTCCTTCCTTCTGACATTCACTTTGTCACTCTCTCCCTCTGACTCCTTCCTTTTCTCCTCCACCCTCATTCCTTCTCTGCCTTCATCCACATTTCTCTACAACACTTGTGCTTGTCTGCCTCCGTCTGTGTGCAAGAATATGGGAAAGTGAATGTTACTCATGAAGTTCACGCTCGAAACGAAACACGTGGCCGACGCTGACTTTAGCATGTAGTCTGCATTTTTCTTTCCTCGCTGTGATCCTGAAAACCCCGCCCCCCTTTTTAGCAACCGCCCAGACGAAGAAGGTGCACAGGTGTGTGTGTGTGTGTGTGTGTGTGTGACAGCCAGGCCCACACATTGTGATCTGTTCCACATCAAACCTCTCAGCCCCCAGTGTTTTGCTCAGCCATATATAGCTACAATTACTTCTAAAGAAATTAGGGTAGAGCTGGAATAAAAGAGAAGTTTAGGTCTGTTTTTTTTAAAGTAGAAATGTAAGAGTGTCGCCCTGCTCTCAAAGTTTGTTGCTCTTCCCTCCTGTACCGCGCTGTTCTGTGGGGCTGCAGTGCAAAGCTGCACAGTGCTGCTGCGCGCTGTTGTAGTGTTGTGGTGCAGTGATAGCGTGCTCGTCCGCTGGGGGAACCCAGAGCATTCTGTCTCACTGAGTGATACCCCTGTCTCCACTCACGATAAACAGCGCACACAGACACACACACAGACACGCACACAGACACACACAGCAGTGTCTGCCAAGCCCAGCCTAGCAGCAGATTCTTCCCTCACACCCGCCTCCCCCTCTCGCAAAGCTGCAAATATATTAGCTGCCTCTTTTTCTTTTGTCTTGGGAAAATGGCAAGTGGGGGTGTCTACATGTGTGTGTGGTTGCGCACGTGTGTGCTTAGTGTACTAAGAAACTGTGGCAGAACATCCCCTTTGTGCCGTTGGTGTTTAGATATCCCTGTGGTATAGGGCCCAGTCATGGTGAGAGAGCTGCAGATGCCTTAGTTCCCTGTAATGCAGGTATGATGTAGGAAGAAGAAATACAGACTGACAGATGAGGCAAAGGAAGATTGCGAGCTGAAAATCACATACAAGCAGTCGATTTCTTTGGTTAAAACAGAAAGAAATATTGGAACAGCAACACTGTTGGGCTCGGCATAAAGGGTCGATTCAAACACACACACTCGCACGCACACGGTGCATTTTCCTCCTCTTATTTCTTTTGGTTCCCAGCCAGCTAGACTGTCCAAGTGAAGACTTCTGATAGTGAAATCTGCAGAATATCCTCTACAGTGGGGACACCGATTCCTCGTCTGTTTCAAACGATTTCAACAAAACAAACATAAATAAAAAATTTCACACAAAATGAGCCTTAAAAGCAAAAGATGTTCGAAAGTCCCGCCCCTAATATTTAACATGACAGTTTTCATGAAGAAAACATCCATTTACTTTGTTTGCAGATGGAGGCAGAAATCTGTGGCTATGGTTACCACAGTTACCTAAATGACAGTTTAAAGGGACACTTATCAAAAAATGTTTCTATATTTAATACTTTCTGCACGAGGGACGTGATGGTGTCATTGACAGAAGTGACCATCGGTGCTAACGAGTCAGAGTTACACCGGCGTATCGAACTGAAGCCTGAATGGACGTGCACCAATTCACTGACTGTCGGCTAAAGCGAGCAGCTACGCTCTTATTTTAATGAGCACAACAAACATTCCCAAATCTTTTTCTTCTAACCAGAAAATCTTTTGGATTTGGACTGTGTGCAAACTGCTGCCACCTCATGACAAACTGTGGTTGGAATAAAGAGCAAATCAATTATTGGAAAACAACAGATGAATGTTAAAATACATGTATGATTGAAAAAGGAGAGACGACTTCTTCTCTGACATCAGAAACCATATTTCAGGATGTGCCGCACAATCCTCGGCTGTCCACTCGGTGTAAATGCTAAAGACAGCAGCAGTGTCTCCATGCTGTCTGAGACTTAATGAATATATATATGAGAGAGAGATGGATATATATAAAGATAGAGGGAGCGAGAACATGCCTGCTGCTTTTATGTCATATCACACACGCACAGACGCATCACTTCCTCGTGGTCCTGCGTGAGATCAGAGTCGCAGCAACCCCTCAGCTGCCACTCAAACACAGATACCTGGTGTGGGCGGGGCTGCGACGGCTCAGAAATCTGGCAAGTGGAATGTTTTTATTTGCAGGAGAACGTGTGTGTCTTTGCCCGTGTGTGTGTGTCTGTTTGGCTGTGTGTGCCATATGCGGTGCGCCTGGGAGGGCTCTCTGCAACATATTGGTGTGCGTACGTTAGTGGTTAATAATAGCAGCAAGCACATACAGCGATGGCAGCTCTGATGTGTGTGACAGTTTTACAGCCGCGCACACCCAGAGACGGTAACGCACGTGTGCGTACACACGTATGTACACGTGCGCGCGCGCACACACACACACACACACACACACACACACACACACACACACACACACACAGACCTCACTGCCACTGAGCCCTTCGTCTTTGCTGAGTTCTCGATTTTATCACAGATCCTGATGAGTAAAAACAACCACTTCCCACCCACCGTGCCTCGCCCTCAGCCCCTCCCCTCATCCTCCATATGTGGGCAAATACAAACATATAGCACAGTTACACACACACACACACACACACACACACACACACACACACACACACACACACACACACACACACAAATACACAAATGTGGAGTCTTAACCACCCTGGAAGCAGCCGCTCACATACGTCGTCCTCTCAAAACGCACGCCCGTTCAGCTCATTGTAGCTGTGGGAGTGTTTGTGCTGTGCCAGGTGGCAAGTTTAAGTTTTGATGGGGGGGGGGTCAGCGACTGCTCCCTGCAGAAGCACAGATACCCAACCTGTCCTGGCAAGCAAAAGAAAGGGAGCGAGGGGGAGACGGCAAGAGAGGCCAGAGCATAGCAGAGGGCCACCCAGTCCCCGGGATCAGCCTCAGAGCCTGGCAGAATCTGGCCGAAGCCGAGAGAGCGACCTGGCGCCAGGTTAGCAGGCAGAGCGGGGACGCTCGGCGGCTCTGTGGCCGGTCTGGAGTGGCTCACCCATATGGTGCGCCGCTCTGTTCCTGCTCTCTGTCTAAATCCATATGCCGCTGGTGGAAAGGTGCCCCCGCCCCACCCACCCCCTCCACACTCCCCTAAGTCACAAGGGAGGTGTTTGGAGGTAAAGCCCTGAAGGCTTGTAACCCCCTTCCTACTTCTTAACCCCACAGAGCTGCTTAGCCTATTGTCACTACAATCTGCTACCATAGCCTTCGTGTCCCCCCCCACTCCCCCTCCACCACCACCACCCTCTCTTTCTCCTCTCTTCTTTCTTTCCTTTCTCGTCCTTTTATCTCCCGTTGGCACCTGATAATCGATGAACTTATTAACTGCTAATTATTCAAGCTGTGGATGGAGGATCCCTCGCCGTCCCTCTAAAAGACAGCGAGAGGGAAAAAGGGGGAACTCCTCTCTGTTCTGCCAAATGAAGTGCTTTATATTGCCCATTCGTTTGGATTAAGTGCATTCAGGCTGCAGTGTTTGGGATGTGGAGATTTTGTCAGATTGCTATCAGTAACATTCAACATTAATCCCCATTTTGTTCAGCCAGTTGATAGCACTCGTTTAGCGGAAGCCCCGGAGACTTTCATATGGAAACACGATTTTAATGGGTTTCATCAGTGACGACTGTGTGTGTGCGCGTCTAAAGATGTGCCTTCTACTCTGTTCTGTTTTTGCAGGAGGTCCTTCAGACGATACCAAAGTTCTGCTTTCCCTTTGACGTGGAAAGGTACGATTCCTCGTTTTATTTGAGCAGCGCAGCTCACTTTCACCTGAAGCACACGTCCTCTGCACATACCACGAGGAGCTATAAGCTACTACTTGATGACGTCCACGCCAGCTCACCGGCTTAAAAACTAAAAAGCAAGAAAAACAAACCAAGAAATGAATGCTGCGATCGTCATATTAATGATGAAGCCACAGGTTTTATTAGTGATGCTGCTGATGAGGTCATCAGCGACAGGCCCACACGATGCAGTTGTGGTTAGTGAGATTTCCTGTGAGTGCAAATGTGGCCAAAGTTGAGAATATAAGGGAGCGTGTTTCTGTACGGACTGTAGGTCCAATCAGATCAGCAGCCTGAGAGCAGCACAGCTCTTATTTTTAGTAAGTGACACGGTAAAAACTCCCATTTTTAAAGACAGAAAGGAGAGAGAGGGAGGGAGGGCTCCTTGGTATTTTTACTGAAGCTGAGCTGCTGCCATCTAGTGTTGAAGGCGTGTACTGAGCTTTACTGGAATTTACCTCGGGGTTGGAAAAGCTTTTCACTGTTTTTTTCTTTTGTACCAGTCATACTCGAAATATGTGACATCAGATTTGGAGCTTGACTGGAGATTTAGCTCGTGGGGAGTTTTCCTTTTTGAATGAGGCCTTCTTTCTGGGCCAGTTACATCTAATTGTGTTTTGTTGTGCTGCTTCTTTAAATGTGTGTGTTTTCGTTTTAAACACTTGTGAGGTTTTTGTGAGCGTGCACAGCACGTGTCCCTCGTTTTGTCGCCCAGGGTCTCCCAGAGTCAGGTGGGGCAGAATTTCACCTTTGTGCTGACGGACATCGACAGCAAGCAGAGGTTTGGTTTCTGCCGACTCACCCAAGGCTGCCGGGTCTGCATATGTCTGCTCAGGTAACACACGCTCTGTGAAGTGTCTGTAGTCTTATTCCTCCCAAAATGTTTTCTACATTTGTATTTCACTAAGATGAATCCTGAACCTTTAAAGCATCTTTACAGGTTTTTTAATTTTTATTAAAGGAACATCGAACACAATTTCCATAAATAAGCAGCGAGGTTATTAAAAACTGCTCTTCACAAATACATCAAAATAAAGAGAATATGTGTGAGTTGCCGTCTTTATTTACTCGTTCAGATAACCCGGACTTGCTCTGCCCTCTTTAAATAAAAATCATAAATTCTATGGATCGCTGCAGAACTGTTTTTATTTTTTATCTATCAAGTTTGATGGAGAGGAAAAAAAAATTAGCCGATCTTTGAAGTGAACACAGATTTTTTGAGGCAGCATTTTCATTCATTCTCACACTTCACACTGAGCTGCTCTATGCCAGAATAACAAATTTTATAGTCTCATCTGCCCACACAAATATGTTACTGATGTGCCTATAATTATCCAAAAGTTTAGCACTTTTTGATATTTTCATAGGTGGATTTCTCCTATCACAGCGCACATAAATGAGGACAGCAAACCCACGAAAAGAAAAAAAAAAGGCATTTTCTTTGCATAATTGCGCTCCGGCAAAGACTATTATCATTTAATTCCCATGTAATTGCATGTTGACACAGTGTTTTTACAGATGTAATTAACTTTGCCATGACGGAGAAGAAGCCACTGCAGTGACGATCTCAGTGGAGTGGACTGAGGATAGAGCTGAGGAGGGAAAAGTACAAGAACGATATTTTTAATGAATTCATGAAGAAGTCGAACAAATAACAAACCGCACGACGAGGACAAAGGCTTTTTCTGTTATTGTAAAGCTGCTCTCGCCTGTGTGTGTGTGTGTGTGTGTGTGTGTGTGTGTGTGTGTGTGTGTGTGTGTGTGTGTGTGGCTGTTGATGGACAGTCGCGGGTTTGTCGCTGCCCTGATGAGCTGCTGTGAAGAACAGTGTCCCTCTTCCCCACACCACCCACCCTTCCTGGCCATCTTCCATGGCCTTTGTTTTTCTTTCTCCCTCCCTCTCTGTCTCTCTTGCTCTCTCTCCCTCTCCCCCTCGCCGTCTCTCCCTCTCTTTTCTCCTCGTTATTCGGCTACTGCCACAGTGCGACAGCAAAGACGCTTGGCCCATAATTATGCATGAAGCTTCGCTGCCAATTAGCAGAGGCTCCCCTGTCCCTCTCGCTGAGTTAGACATGCTAATTCATTTGACATATGATGTATAAAATTCATTATGCATTCTGAGTAGTTTGCATGGCTCGCTTCATTTATAATAATATAATGTATAGGAAGTTGTTTTTTTTTTTGTTTTGTTTTGTTCATTTAAAATTGTTAATGCGCAGCTCGGTTATGTTTTTAGTTTTTTACTTTTATTCCATCTTAAATATCCTCGCTCGTCCAGGACACGACGAGCGAGGATATTTTAAAAGGATTAAAGTGTGTGCAAGAAATTTGGAAATAAAGTTCCCGTCTTCAAGGTCCTCGGTCGTGACTTTATCTTTGTTTATGATTCGTAAAGATGTTAGTAATACCAGATGGGATTCAAGAAAAAAATAAAATTAAGATAATAAAAGTAGTTTTTTCTTCAAATGTGAAACAAGTCGACGGCGGCCCGGGCCGACATGTTCATATTTGTTCTTCTAGGTCCCAAATATAAAATAGGACTCATTAAAACAGTTTGTGATTGCGCGAGTGCTGCACAGTAAAATTGTCACCTCTGCTTACGGGAGGAAGTGTCTTAATGAGCAGGACAGTTTTATGTGGACGGCTCTTTGTAGTGTCGTCGCTGAAGTCGTGACCAAAAAGACCAGGCTTCCTCCAGGCAGGGCTCACACACACACACACACACACACACACACACACACACACACACACACACACACAGTGTACTTTTAATTCTGCCGTTTTCACCCCAGCAGGGTGACCAAAGCCTGCTTTTCGTGTAATTAAAGAGTAAAATAAAGTTTATATCACAGCTGAGGCTCCTGAATCGATTCGACTTGCTTTTGGTTTAGCGTTCGCTCGTCCCCGTACTTAACCCTCGACCCCAGAAAGGAGTCGTGTAAGGCAGTCTTCCAGTGAGCCGTCTACAAAGTGTGAGAGGACTTACGATTACAGGTGCCTGTGCGTTAAATAAGATTTAAGAGCCATCTACAGGAACAGGAATAACTGTCACGCTAAACACCCAACAGGTACTTTATGGGAGGAAAAGAGGCCGCGCGACACCGATGAGCCCCGACATTCAAACCGCCGGGCTAAAACTGCTCTGACCTGTCAGAGGTGCATGGCAGCAGGAGAGGGTCCTTGTGATTGGGTCTTAGGCTTTTTAAGGTAGTTTGTGCTTCGAGGGGACGGCTGCTGCTGCTGGGGAGTTGTGTTGCAACCTGTGGTCTCCTTGGTGGGCAACAAAGTTGCTTTTAACTGTTTAATAAGTACCTCTCTTACAGCAGTAATTTGGCTAATTTGTTTCTTTTTCAGTCTTGGGTTGTATTTTTGCGTCTGCGCGTCCACAACGCTCCGATTACAAAGCTCCAAAGGCGCGTGTTGTCTTCTGTTAGATGGTCCGAGTCTGGGATGAAGAGCGCTGTGAAGGCTGTGAGTGGGTCGCAGATTAACCGGTTCATTCTCTGAGTGCATGGCACTTTGGGAAGACGTGTTTAAAATGGCAGGAGAGATTGCGGGGGCCCCCCACGCACCGAGCACTCCAATGATAGATGCCTCTCCGTCTCTATCGGAGGATTTGTGAAGCACAAACAGATCTGAGCAATGAACTGTGACGAGTAGGAGTATCTCTCTGAGCTTTCCAGACTTTCACTTTGCCCATACAGGAAGCAGAGGGGGGGGGAGAGCAAAACAGTGTCTCATTGAAGTTTTATTCATTTGATTGCGTTGGAATAAAGGGGGAAAAATCATCCTGTTGCCGGAATATTGATAATTTGCTGTCGTCACGGTGATAATGCACTTTTCTGTAAAACTGAAGATTTACGGCACCAGCAGCATAACGAGTGTGAGTCGTTTACGTCTGTGGTGAAAAATGAAGGATTGATGTCCAGAAGCCTGGTTTTTAAACACGAGGCTCAGATAAGCCCGGCCTTTGTTCTCTCTCGGTCTTTATATCAGACTGAAGTTGTGTAAACTGACCCTCGTGCACATATTTGCCTTTTGACGTGGCAGAAATAGGTCTTCAGGTTGATATCCGGTCACCAAATTAACATCCGCGTGTTTGATTGGGCCTCTACAGCAAGTGTGACCCGATTGCGCTAAATCTTTGTGCAGATGTCACAAAATCGTCGCGTTAAGAGACTGATTGTTTCAGACTAATGGTCACTCAGCCTCTCTGATTGGTGCGCTTCGCTGCACCTCTCCTCGTCATTGGCCCCTCGCGGATTTATGCGATCTGAAAATTTGCATCAAGTCCACTTTATTGTTTTCTAGTTGTCTGTTAATTCCAGTCTGCGGAGCAGCCAGTGACCCATGCCCTGCAAACTCCTCTTCCTCCAGCCGACCGTCTGAGACGCAAAACTTTGCCTTTAGGAGTACGAGGCCAATCCAAGGCTTTTAATACGTCTCGATTTGCTAATGAAATAAAAAACAGCCCACGTTTGATTGACCGGCTCGTTTGGTCACTAATTCTTTTTCCCAGCCCTGCAATGCAGGAGAGTTAATGAAGCATTAATGGGAGTCTGTTTATTTAATGGCAGTGCTGGTCCTTACTCAGAGTCATTATACATGCGGTGTTTAAAACTGCATGTTAAGAGCCTGAATGAAATAAAAATGCAATAAGTTGATAGGACACCATGTTTTTAGTATTTGATTGCATAACATTAAACGCGCTGAGGCCTCGCAGCTTTGGTGCCAAAAGGAAAATGTTGGCCATCGTCCACCCAGAAACGAGTCGACTTGGCCAAGAAAATGTCAACTTTGTAAAGAAAGCCATGCTGCAGATGCTTTTAGCTTATGGTGGGTGTACTTGGTGATTAGCTCGAACACAAACACTGCAGTATAAATTATTTTTGAGCTTGTTAATGAATTTATTTATTTTACATTCATTACATAAGGAAAAGCTTTTTTTTCTTCTTCTAAATATGCAAAAGGCATAAGAAGAAGCGGGGGGAGGGGGAGGGGGGGGGGCATTTTTGTTAAGCCTGTGCATCTGGGAGCAGCATGCTCGTAAACCATAGCATCCCTCCACATCACATGTGGTGCTTTTTCTTTCTTCCTAAAGAATCCATTGTTTTTGTTTCCTCATTTAAGGAGCAGACATGGTGGGAATTCTTGGAGTGCCGAGGGCCCGAAGCACGAAAGAACGCCATAATAAGGACGAGATAGCGTTTAATTCCTCCTCAGTGTAACGACTCTGACAGAGTCCATGCCCTGTATGCAGCGTGCTCTTCAGGTCACGCCGTTCGTGCAACGCACACGTCTGCCGGGGAGCGATGTGCGCGTCCTGCTTTGATTCGTCACCTCCCGGTTTGATGACTGAATGAATGAAAGCTTTTCCCCGTGCTGCACATTAACACGTTCCTCTCTGACTCTTGCAGTTACCTACCCTGGTTTGAAATCTACTACAAGCTTCTAAATACCCTGGCAGACTACTTATCGAAACAACAGGTAATCTGGTCTTTTTCTGTGTCTCGACTATTTACACTTGTGCTCTAATGGAAAACAAAATGAGGAAAGGTGTAGTGGGATTTGCCTGAGAGACACGCAAACACGGCGCCGCGGCGAGATGTTTTCCTGCATTGTGTTCTCGCGCGTCGTCTTTGGCGAGCAGCCGTCTCGGGCTCGACTCGCTTCCTGTTGTTAGCAGCAACAGTGTTGACATTTCACAGACCAAACGCTGATCTGACACTGGAAGTTTTTCCTGATGATTTACTGGAATACAAATCGTTAAGAACAAGAAAATTCCCACACACTCACACACACACTCACACACACACACACACTCACACACACACTCACACACACTCACACACACACACTCACACACACTCTCACACACTCACACACACTCTCTCACACACACACACACACACACACACACACTCACACTCACTCACACACACACACACACTCTCACACACACACACTCTCACACACACACACTCTCACACACACACACTCACACACACACTCACACACACACACACACACACACACTCACACACACACACACACTCACACACACACACACACACACACACACACACACACACACACACACACACACACACACACACACACTCACACACACTCACACTCACACACACACACTCACACACACACACTCTCACACACACACACTCACACACACACTCACACACACACACACACACACACACTTCACTAAAGTCTTTTCCCCTGACTTTTCGCTGCATTGTACTAGCAGAGGGAGGGGAAATGTAAAATATGCAACAAACTGGGGAGACGCGCAGCGCCTGGTGCAGCGGGTGTAGGTGATGTTCCACTGTTTAGACTGAAGGGAGGGGAGGGAGCTTTGGGATCACTTTCAATTGTCATGTAGTCACTGCTTCTTCCAAGATCCTCTGAGAACAGCGATCAGGACAAAGTGTCTGTCTAAAGTAGACAATGGCAGACACACAAACAAATAATCTAATATGAAGAGAGGAGGGGGTGGGGCAAAAGCAGATCAGGACAGTTTGTGCGAGGAAGACGGAGACAGAAGGATAGCTGGAAATCCTGGGTGACTGAAGTGTTAGTGTGCATGATTTGGTTTCTATTTACCCCGCTGTCCGTTCCAGGCGAGAGGGAGATGTTGACAGACGAGGGAAGACAGAAGAGCGATGAGGGTTTAAGGCGAGGGGTAAATGAACTGTTTCCCCAGGCCGTGTTGCTGACCATGCGTGTGAGCATTGAGGCTCTCATGACAGGAGGCTGTTCGATTGCACCCCTCCCTCCTTAACCCTCCTTCCCTTTACTGTATATTGCCGTCTATTGCTTCTATTTCTTTTCCACTTCATGCACGCACACACACACACACACACACAAACGCTCGCGCGTTCATTTCCTGGCGCGAGCAGCGGCTCGTACACAAAACCAAAACAAAGTTCTCAGAGAGGAAGTTGAAGCAAACAGTCGTCCCTCCTTTTTGTTTCTCCAGCAGGAGGCCGAGAGTGTGAACGGTGATCCTGTCAAAGAGCCGTAAGTGCTGGAAGGATCGTCTCAGGCCTGATCTGTGGTCAGACCGAGTTCTCTGCCGGCTTCCTGCGGCCTCTGTCTTTGCAGCGAGGGGTGGGGGCTTAATTACTGACAGCCCGCTCTCGGGCTGTAAATCAACGCCGACGGATAATAAGCATCTGCGGCTCGTCTTTTAACCTCGCCGTTTCTCGTTAAACGTATGTCGGTCGGATGTTGCGGAGCCCTACGGCCCTGTGGTCTGCAGCAGCGCCGTGTTTGAGATTGACACGTAACTTGTGACATCAACAAGTCGAGTGAATAAAATTCACGCGTCTCTTTTCCTTGTTTGTTTGTCTCCTCTAGAAAAACGACTTGAACGACGTGCTGAACTCCCTCTATGACCTGCCTGTGCCAAAGCCCTTCACGCCCGTCAACCTGAGTGTGGTAGGTATCTTGTGTTCCCCGTTATCAGAGGCAGAGACAGAAAGAGGGGACAGGTGGTGACTGTGGCAGCGTGCAACTTTAAAAAAGAATTAAAGTCGTCACAAAGAAGAAACGAGCACATGAGGGTGGAGGAAAGCGGAGGTTGAGATAAATGAGAGAGCAGAGCAGTAGATGCTGTAGGTGGGAACAGCGACTGACACCCCGTTTGGAAACCCGTTGTTTCGGCGTGCGATGAGCCTGAGCCGGACATGTTTAAAGTGGAAGCCTCCTTTCACAGCTCACCGTGTCTCCGCTTATCCAAAAAGTGGAACGGCCTAACGAGCTCGGTCGCTGAAAGCCGGCCTGTGACACAGCTCGGCCTCTGTCACGTCCCTGTTCAAGACGAGCGTGATGGTTTCTCTCCAGTATCTGTTTGAGTTTTAGGGCCTCTGTACTGTAACAGCATCAAAGGGTTTCGTGGGAGCCTCTGCCCTCGGGGACCACCTCTCTTTAGTTTTTTTGTTTTTTCGGACCAATTAGACAAACAGCTGTAGAAGAACACTCGTCTAATTAAACATATGAATTTCCAGCCTAACAAGACTAATACGAGGCGATCAATAAATCTCTGTGAAGGCTAACGAGTCCATTTCTTCCCGTCTGAGTGTTGATTGGAAAAGAAGCCCCAGAGAACAGAGGTGATAGCTTCATCTCTCTTCGCTCTTTTTCTGGAGAAGCCACTAGTTTGATATTTAATTGATGAAGCAGAATTATTCCCTTAAAGTGTGTTTTTGTTTTATCATGGCAGCCAAGAAGAAGAATCATTGTCCCCTTTCATCTGTGAACCCTCTCTCTCTCTCTCTCCCTCTCATTGTGCAAGAATGAGCAGTTGTATATTGCTACTGGGCAAGTACTGAGAGATCGGCGAAGCAAGGAGCCGGTGAGTGGAGGGGAATGAGCGAACGGCAGAGGAGGGAGGAGGCGAAATATGAAACTGCTGCTATACTAATCGCATGGGAGCCGCGGATTTCCAATTTGGCCAAATAAGCTGCGCTATCTTTTTAAATATAACAAAAACAAACTATCCTGGGCCTTGGTGTATGTTTCTTCTCCTCTGGAAAACAATCAAACTTTGTAAATGATTAATGCCCTTCCACACTGCTAGATTCTCTCTCTGAATATCAAAAGTCTTTTTTCCCTTCTCTTTATGTTTAAAGCAATTGTACTCAAAAAATCTCCTTGATGCCTTTTCCAGTTAACCCACTTTCAATGTTTTTATATAAACAAGTCTTCGAAAGAACAAGGGGGTGGGGGGGGGGGTGATAAGCAAGCAAACAGCCAATGAAAGGCAGGGTTGAGTTGAGGAGCACGGCTTGTGATTATCACAGCATCGCGAATTTGTAACTTTGTTTAGTTACACAGAGCACAAGGAGAGGGAGGTGGAGAGTTACCGTGGTTACGGGTGGCGGTCCTTAGCACCAAGTCCTCGATTTTACACTTTATTTATTTATTATCTTTTATCATAGATGATAGATGGGTAATGGTAGAGGTTTCCAACGACGAGCTGAATTAACTCAACTTTAAAGCTGATGACCAAGTACTAATGTCGTCAACCAATCACGTGTGACTATTTGTGTGCAGTTTTATTTGTTCGCAGCTCTGCATCGGAGCTGCAGCGTAACCACAAACTAACCATCAGAGTTTCTCTACATGAACACGGCGACGCTGCGCCTGACGTTGATTTTAACTGTAACTCTAATCAGCACGTGGAAACCGGAGACGCTCCTTCGCTTTAGTGTTTTCTGTCAGGCATCACCGAGGGCAGGAAAATCACGTGGCTTTGTTTCTTACTTGGCAACAAGCAAAAACCTTGTTTTGGGCTGATCAGCAAAAAGTCACAAAAGGATCTTTAAGAGAACTTACGGATGTTAAGGCTGAGCGAGCGTCTGGTTAGTGTTTGCAGTGCGTGAGCTCTCCTGTCTCGGCGAGCAACCCCGCATCTCGTTAAGCGATCAGAACGAATTTGTTTTTATTTTTCAGCTGCAGAAAGTCGCCGTGCAAAATACGCATACAAATACGGCTTTAGCAATAATACAAAGCTTCGGGGGAGAGACCTTGATGTCTGCTCCACTTTCTGTTTATTTGCTGCGTCTTTATCTCTTCTGAGCTTTGTTCAACCAGCACGGTGACCGTCCGCCGGGAGCAAACTGATGGTTTACTCGTGAAAATTGGTTTTTCACATTTTTTTGACCTTAAATCACATTTATTTAAGGAGTGAAAGGGCTGTTTGTTTTACACTAAACTGAATAGTTCTTTGTCGCTAGGCAGAGAATTCAAACAACATGAAATTATGATGATGTGCAAATAAAATCTACTGTGTCTCTTTGTAGAAAGACTTTAACGTATCCGTAGAAATGCAGAGTTTAGTCTTCAGCATCAAAGCGATCATAAGATGAGCTGGCGGGTCGTCGTTCTTTGGAAACGCTGAATCGGATTCGTCAATAATGTCGTTCAAAGTGGCAAAGATGAAATCGGATGATCGAGCTCAGAACACAAACTGGATCCTTTTACCATTAAAACAGAGGTGGGGGGAACTCCAGGCCTCGAGGGCCGGTGTCCTGCAGGTTTAGATCTCACCCTGGGTCAGCACACCTGAATCACATGATGAGTCCATTCTCAGGCCTCTGGAGACCTTCAGGACATGTTGAGGTCATTTAGTCGTTTAAATCAGCTGTGATGGATCAAGCACATCTAAAACCTGCAGGACAGCGGCCCTCGAGGCCTGGAGTTGGACACCTGTGCATTAAGTTTCCATGCTTTTTTCCTGCCTGACTGTGGTGGACTTTTAATGGGTGGTGCTGGTGGTGGTGCGGGTGGGTGTCCGAGTTGCCGATTTCATTGTTGTGTTACTCCCAATGTAAATGACTGTTTAATGATGTAAAGAGTTGAAAGTTTTGATCCGTTCTAACCTGATTTGTCTCAGTGTGCGTTTCAGAGACTCTAACCTGTGAACGAAGAGCTGCAACAGATGGTTGAGTCGAAGGCCTCAGAGAAGCGCAGCTGTACTTCCAGGAGAGTGTGTGTGTGAGACGCACAACAGTGTGTTTCACCTGGTGGTTTGTCTACCTCCAAACAGCACCTCTCTCAGGCCTCTTTGATCTGAACACTGAACCTGCCCTGCTCTCCCAAAGTGAGACAGGCAGCCCTGTGATCCTCTAAACAACCCGTGCGCGAGAGTGCGCGTCTGCGCCGAGTCGTGCACGCGCGCTCTCCGCGAGCCTTTTTAACGCTTAAATAAAGACTCCGTTTTCCACCGGAGACATCACCCCAGTCGGTGTCTACGGGGAGCTGAGCTGCTATTGAGTTTCTCTGTTCTGTAGGCCTGATAAAAGCATTGCCACAGTTCAGACACCAGCTCAGCAATTCATATAGACAGAGCTGAAGATGAGCCATAAATCATAGAACAAAGTGAACGGCCTTTTTCTCTCCCTCTTCCCCTCGTTCTCTCCTGCGTGAGCGCCGTGCCTCGCTCGTGACCTTCCCTCTTCTTTCTCCTCATGTTTGTGTTTTCGCAGCACTCCTACTTCATCGCCCCGGATATCAATGGACTGCCAACTATCCCTGAGAGTGTAAGTATGCGTGGAAAAGAAAAGGAAGAAGAGATAAAGAGAAATCCCTGTATTCTGGGAACATCTTTGCCTCTAATCGTTTTTAATCAGATACACATGTCACTCTTTGAAATGATTGCATCACGCTCTTGTATCAGCTTTAGCTCCTGCGGTGCTTCTGCTTCTAATGTCAAGGTTCACAGACTGGCATGGCTGTCGGTAGATTCAAACTGAGCTCGCGTCCTTTGTTGATTTCTGCATTCAAATCTCAGCTCGAAGCGTTAAGGCGGGGACTTACAGCTACGTGCCATCACGTTGGCTCTGTGTAAGGGATGCAGTTAGCACAAGTTTGCCAAGTTTCCCAAACAGTGTGTGCAATCGTACAAGTCCAACTGCTGCGTTTCCTCTGGCTTCAGTCTGCAGCGTTGGCGCTTTACTGCAAACGAGTTGTGCCAGGACAGTTTGTTACCAACCTGAATGTCCTCCTGTTCTTGTCCATCTCCAGAGAAACCTGACCGAGTACTTTGTGGCCGTGGACATCAACAACATGCTCCAGCTCTACGCCAGCATGCTGCACGAACGCCGCATCATCATTACCTCAAGCAAGCTTAGCACTGTGAGTCCCACCCGTCAGACGCTCGACAAACACTCGGTCTTTGTGCTTTTCTGTTTTTAATTCGAGCTGAGGTGGAGCTTTCAGCCGGCGTGTGCGCACGTGTGGGGCTGTCGATGCCTTGGTGTGGAGCTCTAACACCCTCGTTATAAAGTATGTGGCTGAAGCATAGATTGAACATGAGTCCCTTCATCAATATTCCAGCAGGACATCAAACCCTAACAAGTATGCTGAGAATATTTATCTGACACTTTGCTGCTTATGTGGGGAGATCTGTCGACCCCTCCGCCCCCCCCTGGTCTGACGGGCAGCCCACGATAAAGCTGGATTATTTGCGTCCTATAATGGGGAACGCATTGATGTCCACAGAGGCGGGCTGGATTCTCTCAAAAAACTTAAACTCGCTGCCTGTTTGCACGAGGGAGGAAATCTCTCATTCCAGCCTCTCTCCGTTATCCTCGCTGCTGATGAGGCCAAACGTTTATGAGGCGGGAGAGGGAAGTGATGTCATCCTAGTCCTATCTGCATCCGCGGCGTTGCTGGTCCTGCCACCTTTGCAGAACACTTAGCAGCCGCAGGGGCCCACGCCTGGCGTTTTGGGCGCTGGAGGGAACAGTTCCCAAGGTCTCCCACAGGAGCTATAATCAGGAAGACCTGTGAAAATGACTCAGCCCCTTAGAGGATTTCACCCGTCTCCCCTCAGCTCCTCAGACCAGCAGCACCTGTGCTGGAGATCCAAGCAGCACACGGTGCAGTGACAGGAGCGGTGCATGATGTAAATGATCAGACTCAAGGGTGAGACTGTTTTTATTTCAGCAGGAATACTTGGGGGAGGGGAGGGGTTTATTTTTTCCCTGTCTGTGATTTACAGTCCTCTGCTGCCCGAAGACAAATCTCAGCTTGTTTTTCTAACAAATATATGCCGACAGGATATTTTAAGAGCCTCCACGTCAGACCTTTACCTCCGTGAGCCTTTTATCCTCTGCAATTCTTCATCCACTCATCTATCCATCCATCTTCCTCGGGGAGAGGTGTTTTGGTTTGGTAGCGTTATATGTCAGGAACTGCAGCACAAAAGTATTTTCACATCTCCGCTGGGATTACGAGCAGGCCCGGTGTTATTACTGCTCCTGTGATGCGTTGTTTTTGTTGTTGGGCAGATTGACCCGCGAGTTCAAGCGGAAATGGTTGCCGCCATTCTCGAAGCCGCGTATCTGAGCGTATGTGTACTTAACTTGAAAGCGCTCCGGCTCGTTATCCGGTTCCCCGTCTTGTGATCGAATATGTTACTGGATGAGAGAATTATAATTTATGTCAGAGTTCGTCCAAATGTTGGCTAAAGTGAGCGTCGGCAGCCACTGGATGGACAGCCAGTGTTTCTCCAGTCTGCTTGCTACAGATAGAAGATGTATGAGAGAAAGTATTGTTAGTAACATCGTTAGTACCATCCAGCTGCTTTTCACCACCTCCGCCTGTCCAGCATCTCAACCGAGCAGAGTGAGACGGGGAATAGAAACACACACACACACGCTCAGAGATGTGCTGCATTTATTCTGCCTGCTCGAGGTGCTGCCTGTGTTAAAGCCCCCGGTGAACCCAGCGTGTCAGTCTGTCGGTACATGGCTGCCGCGTCTCGCAAGCAGCCAAAAGCAAAGGAATAAATCATGATCGTACAACAATGCGTCAGTTGACTTATTGCTGCTTCGTGACCAGAGGTGAATGGTGCCGCTGTTTTCTTTTTTGTTTTTTGTTTAAAAAGAAAAAAAAGCCAGTCGGCGGTGGCGCAGGGGCGGGAGCCAGCCGTGCGTGCAGCCTTGTCATAGGCCCGTATAATAGGGCTGCATCGGCCCTTCCTCTAACTAGTCAGCTGGGAGGACCCCCTCTGAGTCTTTCATATGCCGAGGCCCCCCAGCTCTGCAGCCCAGCCTCTGCCCTGCCTATCGCCCAAATTCACACCGCCCCGACCCCGGCACTGGCTGACAGCAGCCCTCTCATCAGGCTGTCAGGCCTATGCTAACAAGGAGCTATCCATCCAGCGTGCCCTGGAGTGCCAGCTGCCTCTCTGTTTCCAGCCTTTTCCTCTGTTCCTTCCCCGTCTCTCTTTCTCCCACTTCTCTCGGCGTCTCTCCCCCCTCGCTCTCTGTCTTAGTAATTCTTTCTCTCTGACATATTATTTTCTGTCCATCTGTCTCTCACTCTCTCCCGCTACACCTCTCTTTCTCTCTGACTTTGCCTGCCTCTTCCTGGGAGTCTTAATGTGTCTGTCTGCTGTTGGGCAACTGCAGAACATCAAGACATCCTCCCCCCTCCTCCCCCACCTTGTCCTCGATAGACTCGTCTCTGCCGTGTGTCTTAAGGCGCGTGTCGTCGCTGCGACGGTGTGCGTGCACATGTGCGTGCAGAGGGTGTTCAGAGCGTCGGCTTCTTTTTTTTAAGCATGCATCTGTTTGTGCGCGTCGTCTGCGCTCACAGGTGTTTGTACCTTATGCCTTATGTCTTCCTGTGAGGGACTGTGTGGGAGGCCTGGCGTTGGCTGCTGCCTGCGTTGTCCTGCGTGCCCTCTCTACCCCCCCCGCCACCTACCTGTTTGTGGCATGCTTGCGTCGTACAGAGCCTGACACCGGCGTTTGTCAACAGAGGGAAAAGCAGAGCGTGGGTAATTGGTGACTACTCCGGAGAGGAGAGGGAAAGGCTAACACAGCAATACAATGACAGGGAGGTGGGGGGGGATGAGGGAGAGGTGGCAGGGGACAGAAGGACAGCAGGAGGAGAGGAGGAAACGGAATAAGTAATGGAGACTTGGGATGAAAACAGGATTGAATTTGGAGAGCGCGCAGGGACAAAGTTGGAAGGAGAGGCTGCGAGTGTTTCAGGCCGGTGTGAGGAGGTCAAGAGCGGCCGTGTCGATTCCTCCTGTCAAACTGAATTAGGTCGCCCGCAGCAGCGGTTATTCTTGCTGCGTTTAAACCAGAGAGCAGCTGGTTAAAGGCTCGGCGACCGTCATAGGACCTCGTTAAGTGCGATCGTAGCAGCATTGTTTGTGCCTCATGTCAATCTGCTCAGGTGAAGAATAATGGGAAGGGTATGGCAGAGCGCTGATGTCTCGAGCGGGTCTGGACTTAATTGAAGGGCGGCACTGCTGTTCGGTCATGAAAACACAGTTTGGATGCAAAATTGAGGTTTATTTATCTAAACGTTGTTCTCGATTCAGTGAAAAAGTGGCAAATAAAATATGTGTAAATACAAAAACTCCCCTTTTCTATTCTGCTGCTGATGGATCGCCAGGAAACAAAGGATCACATCAAACCTCATTATTGATAAACTGCTTCATTCCTGAGTTTATGGCGTCGACTTTGAGTTGCAAATGTTCTTCCTCTTCCATCTTCTCCAACCTTCACCACCTCCTCTGTATCTCTCGATCCCTCTCTTTTCGGTCTGTCCTTCCTTTAGTCTCACTGAATGGATCTGGGAAGACCCGTGTTAGTATGGACACTTTCTGTCTCGGCTACAGCGCACTAAAAAGCTCTCAGGGCAGAACCAAAGACCTTGACTGCTTTTTGAAGCAGGCTGTCGCTGTATAATCGGTTAGCTTCCCTCAGAGGAAGGGGCAACACACACACATGCACAGTGTGTAGGAGGCAGGCAGCCCCTCATTACCGGGCATAGCCCTGGTCCCCGAGGACTGGACCCAGCACCTAATCCTGTATTTGTTCTTGGGGACTGTATCTGTGATTCTCCATTGAATGGAATATTAAGCACCAGGTCTTTTGTGGAGCGTGTAAGCCATTTGGCTCCACTCATCTATTATTTATCAGCCTGGCAAATATTTTATCAGCCTTAGCCTCTCATGGCCCACTCTCATGTGAAGCCCCCCTATAAATGAAGAAAAAAAAACAGGGGTATCTTTTTTTTTCTTTTTCAATTTATCCTCCTTTTACTTTTTGCCTCATTTGTTCTAAAACCAGGACAAGGACACGGCCGTGTGTATTAGGCTGAATTAGAGAAGCAAATATGTGAAGTATTCCTCTGGAGTTCCCTTCGAGTTACCTTATCTAAGGCGCGCTGCCGCTTCCACCGCTTTGGAGATAGCACATAAATGAAAAGTGAAATCTAGATTTGCTTTATAAATCATTATCTTAGTTTCAGACTCCCTTCTCGGCCGACTCCCCCAAGCCAGCCACCCAGCCTGGGAAGAAGAGAAGCGCAGAGAGATACTCCTGTTTTCACTTTCAACCTGAGAGTAAATCATGCCGGTTGGGGGGCTCACCTTGAGGCTTGGTGGAGATAATTGGAGTTGGTTAGCGAGGTGTTCTGAGCCATTACCTCCTGGTACCAGCGAATGGCTGGGGCTTGTCTCTCACTCCCAGAGGAGGGATACAGTAGCCTGTTGGCTCTGCGCTTCGCGTGCGTGCGCGCACATGCATGCACACGTGGCACGTGTACACATGCGTGCGTGCACAACCGCAGCCAGATCGGTGACCTTTCCCGATCGCAATTTTAATGGCCCCTCAGCATCGTAGGGCGTGAGAGTTCTGATCGTCACTTTTCCACCAAGTGCTTCACTTTCATACATTAATATTCATAGCATTGATTTATTTTCAGAATTAACTAAAAAAACAGGAAAATAAAAACCCCAAACTGTTTGCCAGGGAATTAATCCTGACAGGAGCGTGGCATTGTTGTTTTATTTGAAGACAGCAGGAAGCAGAAATATGCATATGCAGATACACAGAGCAAGACACCAATTAAATGTTGATTAAGTCTTAACTATTGTGGGACTGCGTGTATGAGAGATTGCAGAGAGACAATTAAAACGAAACGGAAAAAAGAAAAGACGCTGGCTTTTTTTTTTTTTCCTGGCCAAACACACACGCTGGGAGGGAAACACACACACACACACACACACACACACACACACACACACACACACACACACAGGCTTTCTGTTGTGAGCTTTTCAGATGTCCGGGCTTGATCTTTGGGTGGATTCAGAGGGGTGGGGCCCCTCTCTCTCTCTGGCAGCGGTGGTTTTCAGCCGCCGAGCTCGCTCGCTTTTGGCCGGTCAATTGTGACACTGCGTGTGTCAGCGAGCAGGGGGTCTCCTGGCAGTTGCGCGCATGTGCGTCTGATAGCGTGTGTCCGCTTCACACATTGACTGTGAAGCTGCAGCAGTATAACAGCGGCTGCTGCTCCGGGGTCCCGGCGGTATTGGCCTAGCCCGCAGTCTCTCTTGGCTAACTCATGTTTCATTCTTTGGCAATTTGCCCTAATGAAGTCCCGCAGGAGCCCCTCAGACCTCTGTTCTCTTTCCATATTTAATCATGTTATTTTAATCTGGGGGATGAGCTAACGCCTGTGTGTGTGTGTGTGCGTGCGTGCGTGCGTGCGTGTGTGTGTGTGTGTGTGTGTGTGTGCGCGCGCTGCAGGTCATTACTGTAGCTCGGTTTCATGTGATGAGATGTCAAGAGGGAGATGCTGGCTTTAAGACAATGGAAGACAATGACTTTAGTTCTGGGTGTAATATTGGTTTGACAGTGTAAAAAGCTCCTTTGAAAAGCAGTGTCATCTTCACGTGATTGCTCCTCATCATTTGTTTAAAAAAAGAGGTTAATTATTCCGTCTTTTCCCTTTTAATTTCCCAGTCATCGTGGTCGGGGTAATTCAGATTTTTATGGCTACTGTCAGACTGTTTTGGCTTTCTTTTGTTGCTTTTGTGCAGGTCACAGCACAATCCCGACTTACTGACACTGATTGAAAAAGAGTTTAATAATGAACTCTGACTCTTTAAAAAAATGGGGTCAGAATCAGTGTTTTAAAGTAATGACTCGTAATGGCCAGGTGCAATAGCTGCAAAACATGTTTGCTCTAATGACCCTGGACAAGTAAATCGATACGGAGACGGCGCTGGATGCGTGTTGGCTGCTTTCCTTAGATCAATCTTTTTAATAGTTTTCTTTTCACATCAGTCGTCTCTGCTTTCTCTGTCACGAGGTCGGAGGCGGGCCCTGTCAGCGGGCTCGGCCATCAGAAACGGACGAGGATGTGTTCGCATGAAACGACTGCATGTTTGGTTTATATTAAAGGACATAACAGCGTGTGGGCGGGGCCACTGTAGTCATTTTTTTTAAAAGTAATTTATTACTTAAAATTACTTTCACCAAGAGCACAAATCAGAGTCTCCAAACTGTTCTGCCTTTTCATGAATTTTATGTTGTTGCTCAAAGTTTTTCCTTTTGAATCCCTCCTCCTCACATCTTCTCTCTCTTCCTGTAGTTAACGGCGTGTGTCCACGGCGCCGCCGCTTTGCTCTTTCCCATGTACTGGCAGCACATCTTCATCCCTGTGCTGCCCCCGCATCTTCTGGACTACTGCTGGTAAGGCTGACCACCTCTGCAGCACACACGCAGCAAACACCACGAGCATCAGCATCACCAGTGTTTTCTCTCCAGCGCACACGTGTGCAGACGTGCACGCATGGCACGTCGCGCTCTGCCACTAAAAGTGCAGACACTCGTGTTCACACCTTCTCCCACCCATTCTTCATGTTCTTGCGATTCCTCTTGTGGCGCGACTTCTCACGTGTGGCTTCCTCGACATAATGAACGGCCCCGATCACCGGGCTCCATATTTCATGCCGGCGCCGCCGCGCTCTCATCATCTGGGCTCTCTCAGGGTTTCATTACCAGCGATCCAACGCAGATCCGACAAATCTGGACGGACTTGACTGAAACTGGATGCGGAGCGGGAGTCGCGGCTCGGGTCAACGTCAGATCTGAACGCGTGAAAGCGTTTGCAGCGCGGTTACGTTTGTCCAGCGCTTCACCATCAGCGACATTTGGCTTGAAGAAGCTATAAATCACTGACAGTGAAATATGATTTTCAACACTCTGCAAAGACTCATCATTATCTTATTCAATCACAGCGGTGTCCTCATGCGCTGATTAGATAATGCAATTACATTAGATGTGTGCGTGTGTGTGCATGAGCGTCTCTGCCCATGCCTGTGCGTCTACTGTTTGTGTAACTGGATCTGCGTAAATGTCGAACATTCATAAAACAGCATCCAGGCCTGCTGCTTGTTTTTCAGTTGCTTTAAGCTGATTACAAGCCTGTGGCTGCTGAATCATTCTGGCCAGGAACACGCTGACCCCAAACTATCCGATTATTACCGCCTCTGTAAACCTCATCGTAAAAATGGTTTCTATTATTTGACTGTTTTTGTTGATTTTATTCCTCGTGCTGATGGGGAGCGGTCCGTGATTCAACTTTTCCTTTCCGCAAACTTTGAAAACGAAGATATATCACACCAAATGAGGACGACATGATAATAACCCCGAAAAACCAAACACTTTATTTTTTTTGTTGTTTTTGAAAATAAAAATAAAACTCTTGACACATCTGCCCTTTAACTTTCTGAGGGAATAATTCTTTCTGCACTTCCTGAAACTATCAGTCGACTCGGAGAGAAACCGAGCCTTAAATGTTGCACTGATGCTTGTTGTTTTATACTTTTGTTATTAACCAGTAAGTTTTGCATTTCTGCCAGTATAAGTCGGTGTGTTATTTTTAAACTGTTCTTGTTTAATCTTTTATTCAGTCTCAATCAGCGATGTAAGGAAGGCGAGAACACATTTTGTGCTTTTACCTGCTTTTAAGAATAAATCCTGTAACATGAGATTAGTTTGTGCTGCTGCAGTTAATCTGATGCTGTTGGGAAATAATCACAAACCTTACAGGGAGTAGAAAATGTGCTGCCTGTGCCTGTCAGCTGGGTTCAATTAAATATAGTTGTCAGTACATGCAGCAGTGTCAACTGTAATTATTTTAAGGATTAGTGACCGTTGTTATTTTTAGCGATACGTGATTACCACTGTTCTTAATCATTTTAAGTCAGGCCTTCACATTTCAGCACATGTAACCCTGAAATGTATTCAGATTACATTTATGGAATACAAAGAAACTAATTTCCACAGCTGTGATTTTTTTATTTCAAAGACTCGTGTCATCGCTGAAGTGTCCTCCGTGAATGTTTCCTCCGTGTAAGCGTCTGATCTCACAGGTCTCACTCTTTCTGTCCACAGCGCCCCTATGCCGTACTTTGTGGGAGTTCATCTCAGTCTGCTCGAGGTATGTTCGAAAGTCTTTAGCATTTTCAGTAGATTTGAATGTTACGTGTTCATTTTGTAGATGGTTTTCATTTGAGTGTTTCAATAAGATTTGACAGCTATATTTTCTTCTCTTTTCACTTCCTCTGCTGCTTTCGTGCTTCCTTAAAGCAAACGTACACAGAAGCCCAAGAAAGCATCTGCAAACAAAGAGCTTTCTTACTTCATTGTGTTGTTTGGGGGGCAAGTCATCAGCAGCACTGCTGCTTTGTGTGAATGCATGTTGCAAAAACACACACGCTTACACTTGTGTGTAAGTGTTAGTATGTAGGTGTGTGTGTTTGTGCAGATGCATATGTTCTAATGCACACGTGTGTGTGTGATATTTGTCTGACAGTTGCGGCAGTGGCAGTATTTATCACACTCTGCATCCGTGACAGACCTTCTTTCCGCCACTACATAATTAGTCCAGATCAGCATGTGAGCCTCCGCTGCACAGGCTGTCACAAAAGTGACAAACTAGAAATTCACACACAACGCTGCCCCCCCCACCCGCCGTCCCCGCACACACACCTGCCTGCATCCTGCACCACACTGAAATAATTGTTGAATTTGTCGCCATCAGGATGCGTGCGGCACGCCGCAGCATCACGGTGTTGTTATTGATGCGTGAGGTTTTTGGTGCTGTGGAAAATGTTCGCGCGGTCCAAATGTTTTCTCTCGGTGCCATTCTTCATTTCGCCAGCTCGCGTCTGCGCGCGCGTTACCGTAAACACGTTCTAATCATTTTTCATCCTTAATCGTAAAGGAGTGTGATAACTGTGCAGCTTTAACCGCGGCTGCTGGATGTTCATGTTCCCGGGGCTTCAGGACAGAAATAACTTTGTCTCCCGGGAAACGCACCTGGGCCACACTGCGGGTTTAAAATCGTGGCGTCGTTTCACAATTTAATAATTCCACAAATACAAATATTTATTATGTTGAAAGATGTCAGATGCACAGGAAGTCTCCAGCACAACCATCATTAAGAAAAACAATAAATGATCGCTCTGAGTGTATGTGTATACACTTGTGAAATAATAATGATGAGAATATCTACGCTGCTGCACTAACGTCGCCCTTTTCCTCCCGTAGAGAGTGCGCAGTCGATCGCTGGAGGACGTGGTCATCCTGAACGTGGATACAAACACCCTGGAGAGCCCTTTCGACGACCTGCACAACCTCCCGAGTGACGTGGTGAGACCAACGCGCAGCTTTTATTGCTACATCGCACACACACACACACACACGCAGTAATCTCACGTGCACACGCGCATGGCAAGAAAACTAAGGCGCACACACATCCAGAAACTTGTCAGAGTACGGCTCTGTCCCCTCCCCGCATCATTAATGACTGCAGCACTGGCTCCTCAGACTGCGGCTGTCTAAAGTAAACTCCCGTCGCGTCGTATGACGCTGGAAGGCAAACAGCATTCCCCGACCATCAGAGGCTTGTGGGAAAATGTGAAACTCCCTTCCCTTCATCTCCATCCATTCTAATCATTATTTCACAAAGTCTTGCGTTTCTGCCTGCCCACTGGCACGTTTCTGAGGAGGAGAGATAGGAGGAGGCAGAGAAAAGAACAGGCAGAGATGGGTGATTTTGTGGGGGGAGAGTGGGAAGAAAGGGGCCAATTACCAGAGTGGGCAGTGAAGCCACCTGCCAGCGCGTCGTCTCTTTAATTAACGGAGCGCCGACGCCGGTCAGTGCTACGGGAAGCATCACCGTGGCGTCGGGGTCACTCGCACACACCGGTCTTTGTGGTGTTTGTTTAGCTCTTCTTCACGGTGTGTGTTTAAAGCTCCGCCGTGAGACGGCGAGGCCCCGCCGAGGCTGCGGACGCTCTTTTACCCACGCTGCTAACAGTATATGCTCGGGCTCCACCGCCTACGGGACTCCTGTCCCAGCAGCAGGACATAATTTCATCCACTGCCCAGCAGACTCCAGACCTGCTCGCACTCCCACACTTCTCTGGTTCTCCTGGTTTAGCGCTGCTCAGCCTACTATGACTGCTAGCGTGTGTGAATGCCTCTTTACTGTGTGCACCGATCTCTTTTACACTTTCTGCCAGCTCTCTCGCCCGTTTGCCTGCCTGACTGCTGGAGTTTCATGGCACCTGTCTGCCTTCTTGTCTCCCTCCCTCGCAGCGCTTCCCGCCTGCCTGGACGTTTCCCGCAGCCGCTGTTTGCTTCTCTGCCTGTCTGGCTACCTTCTTCTCACTTCCTGCCTGCTTGCTTTTCTGCACCCAGGGACTGAATCCCTAAATTAAATTGCAAACTGAGTTTGTCATAAAAAAGAGTCGGGGCTTTTGAAGGCGACAGAAGCGGAGAGAGAAGCCTTTGTCTTTGCCGTGTGATAAATTAAGTGGCAGGCTCGGAGGCTTTTTTGCTTTGATCCCCACTCGCCATTTTTCCTGACTAATGACAGAACATAGCCTGCACATCACGTCGAATTACACCACCTGAAACGGAAATTTTGCTGGCATTAATATATTTATCGTAACAAATTGTTGTTGTTTTTATTCCCGTTCATTTCCCCCTCCTGTCTCCTCTCATCTCTTCGCGGAGGTTAGCAGATTAATAACAAAGCGAGCAGGTACTAATTGAGTGGAATTCCAGGTCTCTTGTTAGTTTGCTTGTTAGTGATGAGGACACGCCACATGGCATTTGATGTTTGTGTTTACACAAAAGGAGGCATTGTGCAGTTTGTCAAAGTGAGGCCTGAAATCTTGATTAATGCTGAGCGATTCTCTGCCTGGGCTGAGCTGCCGAGCTATGAAAGGCGCTCCTGGTTTCTCGGCGGTTCTCGCTGTAACGCTCGGGTTTATTCGGCGTGAAGCCCAACGATTATTTCACTTTGTGTGAATATATAAAAGCATCAAATGGATTCAGAGGCCACGGGCGGTTCTTCTGCGCGTACGACTAAAAACACCCCGATGTTGATTTAAGGAAACCTTTGGAGATCCGTTTAATTGTGGCGGCGCGAGCACATGTGGACTCCATTACGAGGATCTGCTGACCAGTGGCCGAGCTTTTAGCGGGTTCAGAGTTCACAGTTGTCCCGAATTAGTGTCTGTCTTTCAGACGGGACCCCTGCTCCAGCTCCGCCCCCTTAATGGTCTTTTCCCGCAACTTCACACATAATATTTTAGATTTATTGACTATTACGAACGCTACCACGCCAGTAGCGGTTCCGTTTAGCAGCGAGAAGGAAAGATCTGACTGAGAGTAATTGGTAAGGATGCCGCCAACGTTTGAGGGCAACTCTTGATTTTTATTGTTTTTAAATTGGAAACGTCACATTAATCAAAGATTCAGAATTAATTTCTTTTTGTCTTTTTTGTTTTTATTTGGAACATGAAGGATATCTGAAGCGTGGCGGTCCACAGCAAAGCCGTGTGTTTGTTTGTTGACTGTTGTTTTTAAATAAAAGGCCTGATATTATCAGACAAATGGAGCCTACAGTGCTCTGGCAGGATTTTGCATTATTTAGAGTTGCTTTAACCAAAAGTTTCGATACTTTTTTTTATACATTAATGTTGATCTCACAACAGGCTGCGCTCGTGTCAGTAAAAGCAACGTGTTGACAAGCTTACTGAAAAGGAATAGTCGATAAAAACAAATAAAGAAGAAGCTGTAGTTTTCCCTGGAAGATCAAGGTATTTTTGTTTCCTTCTCTGAGAGCTGCGATTCTTCAGCAGAGATTGTGCTGATAAAGTTATAATTGGCTTTTGGTTGGAGGAGCTGTTTACTCCACCAGTCATTAAAAGTATCCAAGAATAGCAAATTAGGAGTCTGTTAATTCCGAAAACAAACACCGCGCGTCTGAATCGGATTGTTTTTTGATCCTGGCAGTTGATCTCAAACCAATGATGGAAGAATTTTTTGTTTTCATGTATTATTCTTTCTGTGCCGCGTATTCAAGGTGAGCTGCTACAATGCAGCTCACATCTTTATTTTCAGATGCTCCCTCTCACATCACAGCCTAATTCCTTCTATTCTCCTCCTCTCTGCCTCTCGCTACTTTGCTGACACCGCGTACCCCTACGTACCTAGCCTTCGCACATTTGATCATTTGTATTCCCAATCAAGGGGGGGATTTACAGCGTACACTCCTACTTCCTGTATTTCAAGCCTACATTTGGAGGTTTACAAATGAACGAGGGGGTTGAGGCTGCGTCTGCGCGCCTCTCCTGAGATCACCTGGCACACTTAATCAAACATCGCGGCTTTAATTTGGCGTTCGGTTTCTGACATTTTCCAGAAAACAACATCTACGTCATCGTGTAGAGCAGAGCGCGGCAGGCAACACTCACACGGAGACACCCGCACGCCGGAGGAACGTTTGTCGTTCACGTGTAGTTTGGGGTAAACTTTCTGCTCAGATTTTGTCCATTTTCACTTCAGAATAAGTCAAGTTTGCTTCACTTAAAGCAAAGCTGCCTACGGTAAAGTCCCTCGCATGCTGTGCTGCAACTACGTGGTAGCTCAGCGCCGGGAATGCAGTCGCTCCACCCCGGCTACACGCTGTACTTTACCAGAAACAGTCCTGGAATCTGCACCACATCATAACAAGCTGCAAGCAAAGTATCTGATTTCCTTGTTGTGAGTCTGCATTGTACCGACTGCAAACGTCAGACGGTGCTCATTTAAAGCCTCGTTTTCCAGGTTGTGATTTGTCTTTCTGAGGCGTGCACACTCCCGCTGCAGCGTTAGCAGCCCTTCATTGACTCGCGTGGAGTTTAAAAAGCTGCACTTCATTTTCACATAGTCGGTCTGCCGGCGCTTCGCTCTGGATTAGAAGTCAAAAAGGGAGAGCAGCATCACCCACTGCGTTAGTTATTGAAGTGAGGGATGACATTTAGCTGTAGTTAATTATGTATGCAAAACTCAGCCGCTCAGCTGCTATAAGAGGTCAGCTTGACAAAGTAACCCCACACCGGGCAGAATCTCATGGCAATGAGATAGCCCTATTAAAACACACACACACACACACACACACACACACACACACACACACGCAGCTTCCCCCCTTTGCTTTCTCACCCTTTCTCATTTCGCCTGACTAATGTATTGCAACGCTCTGAATACTTTATTCTTTAGTTTTTTCTTCCACTGCTTTACTGATTTAAAAAATAATAATTTCTTGCAGTCAAACCTAAAACTAGTATCGATTGTATTTGTGTAGATTTGTCTTTGTTCTGCATTTTTATGGTTAATTTTAATTTTGCGGTTTAAAAGATATCTAATATTTATCTTTAATTGAAAGAATGAATGATTTCTCACAGATTCCAAGTTGCGTTCTGTGTGTGTGTGTGTGTGTGTGTGTGTGTGTGTGTGTTCTCTGTGCGTCTTTGTTCAGATTTGTGTGTGTGTGTGTACAGTTCAGACTGCAGCACATCAAAAGAAAGTGGGAGATTTTCATAACTATTTTTTTCTTTGTAGTTCTTTAATTGCGTCCCCATGGCTTTCTTTCCCTGGACAGATTCTTAAACAAAACATTCCTTTTTTGTGAGAAGAAAATCCAACTTTTTATTCGTTCTTTTAAAACAACAGAGAAGCATCGGGGTCGTTATTTGTGAGACTTTTTTTTTTTTTGTAATGCCCAAGTAAAAATTTAAAGTAAAATTCTACATATCTGTATATAATCGAGCTCGTTTGCAAGGCAAGGCAAGTTTATTTGTACAGCACAATTCAACAACAAGGTGATTCAAAGTGCTTTACAGAGACATTAGAAACAAGAACAAATAAAAAGCATGATTTAAAATTGATTAAAACAAGCAAATAAACTAACTAACTAATTAACAAACAAACAAACAAACAAACAACAGTATATAAAATCAAAACAGATAAAATCAGTAGTTAAATGTAAGTTTTGAAATTTAAGCTTAAAGTGTGGATTTGGTGCTTTATTCAAATGCAGCTGAGAACAGGTGAGTCTTCAACCTGGATTTAAATAAACTGAGTGTTTCAGCTGATCTGAGGCTTTCTGGGAGTTTGTTCCAGATATAAGGAGCATAAAAGCTGAATGCAGCTTCTCCGCAGATGCAGATGTTTTTTCTTCTCCTTTTGTTTATTAAAAGTGAACGTTTGTGTGCGTCATCATTACCTGATTCTGTGTCACTTTACAAAACAGGAAATCACATGGTAAGTTTGCTTTTTTAAAAATTCTCCAAAAGCTCGTGCGTTTCGCGCACACGTGCGCAGCAGTGCGAGGCCCTTGATTGATGCTCACTCGATGCATCAAGGCGGCGGCGTGAGCGCAGACTTTCGCGCGCGTTCACACAGATGCCTGGCGTCACCTACAGAGGTATCATCCCTTACATTCAGGCAGGGATCATCATTGCACCTGCTAATTACCATCTCCAGCTGGAGAGTTAAATGGAGATCTGTTCTATGTCTGACCTTTGACCCCGTGCTCTTTATGTGACGCACTTCAAATCCTGTTTGGGGCTGGCTGGGCCGGGCCTTAATGAGGCCCCGTGTCTGCCCTCTGGGGGCCGAGCGCCTGGATGCCCCGCTTTCATCCCCGACCATCTTCCCTTGATGTAAATTGAAAAGATCACAGCTATGGGGAGAAGACCTGTACTGGAAAGGCCTCTCTGCATAGATTATGAATATCATAACTCAACAGTTTTTCCCCTCTCTCTCTCTCTCTCTGTGTCTCTCTCCGACAACCGCCCACTCCCCTCTCTCCCCCTGCCACCCCTTCCCTGTACAATGCTATAGTTCTAATTGGACCCAATGGGGGACTCTCTGCCTTTGATCTCATCACCGCCACTGTGACTTTACACTAAAAAATGTCACTGCCAAATAGGGTTATCACCTGTAGAGCCTGGCCTTCCTCTGATGCCTGTACGCATCTCGTTAGCTTCACTCAAACTGCAGAAGTTAATTAGTTTGACAGAGCCATTACCGCGGAGGCACACCTGATGATTGTGGCGTAGGCGCCATATTCAAAACCCAATTACGACGTACACGTTGGTTTTATTTATTTCTTTTTTGTTCCCGTGCGAGGCGCGTTTTCATTTCTATTAACCAAACAGCTACGACTATATTTGATTTGTAATATCTGACAATTTAATTAATCGCTACGTGTGACCGAAGGAGGATTTTTGAACTCTTCCCGTGAACGAAGGTGAAACTTCCAACTCTTCGCTTTATCGCCCGTTTTTCAAACGCCGGGAAGTAAAAAAACAAAACGGTGATTGTGTCCCCACCTCATTAAAAAGTGTTCGCGGCGCTCTCACCCGTTCAAAGCTGCAGTGCGCACAGTAAACTCCACGATCCGGCTCCTCTGACAGTCTTCGGGGGTATGCCTCCCCCTCGTAGACTGACATTGTGTTCGCTTTGATTCTCCCCCCTCCAAAAAGGAGAGGGGGAGGCAGTTTAATGATTTGCGAGGAAGGGGGAAAACAGTGAAAATGCACATAAACATTAAATATTAATTCCAAAAAGGGCTTTACATAAACATAAAAGCATTTAGCACAATGAGTGAATATGGAGATGACACTTGTTAATTTAACCGTGATAAACTTTCTGTTTGATGCCTGGGAGCATTTGCGATGGCAGCACGGGGACGCTGTGGAGAGTGAGAAAGCCCAGGGGAGCCAAATCAACACTGTTCATTTTGTCTTTGTCCCAGTTTAAGACCGCCACACTCTCCGGCTGCCTTTCTTTCTGCCTCTCCCCGCGTGTCCTCCGTGTGAGCTGTGCTAACACTTTGCTTCTCCTCCCTGAAGTTTCCCAGATCGGCTAATTGCAGATGCCAGATGACAAAATCCCCCCAACGCCGCGGCGCGATGTGCGCGACCACAGACCAGATCAGCACTTTATCATATTTGCTGCAAACATGCGGTCAGATGTTTTTCTGCTTTCGTCGCTTTGACTTTTTCGCTGCAGATACTCAAATTTTATTCGTCTCACACACATACACAGTAAGACATCTGGTGAAATGCTTATTGCAATGCCCGACCATTAAATTGCAATAAGCAAATTTACAAAATTTACAGATTTTAAATTTCAAAATTTACTACGGTGGCCCTGAGAGGCCAAACGGACTGCAACTTAAACAAACACCAGCTGCAAAAGTACACAAAACACAACGGAAATAGGAAACACAGATTTCCGAAAGCACAAGGGAAGTGTTTCTGGGGAGACAATAACCTGACGGACCAGTTGCAGGAACCAAAACATGCTAGGTAAGTGTGTTTTAATCTCGTGATTTTTAGTTAGGCTAACACACCTCTCCGACAGGTCCTCCACTTGGTTTAAGTGTCTCTCAGCGCAATTCTTAGCATGTCTTGGTTCCTGCAACTGTTTTGTCGGTTATTGTTTCCCCAGAAACACTTGTGCTTTTGGAAATAACTTTTTTCCTATTTCCGTTTCCCCATTTCCGGTGTGTTTTGTGCGCTTTTGCAGCGTTTTTCTTATTGCTGGTGTTTTCTTAAGTTGCAGTCCGTTTGGCCTCTCAGGGCCACCGTCATTTACAGTAAAAATGTGCAAATAACAATTTAAGAGGTGTGCAAATAAACAGAGTGCGTGCGGTGATGTGATAGATGAGGGTAACAGGAACAACACTGGTACGTTTGAGAAACGCTGTGTTGGAACGCAGAGCACACGATGTGATGACTCTACGTTAGATTAATTCAAACGGGAATTTTCCCTTTTCTTGGTGGTCATTGTGCACTCCCAGTTTCTGTCCCAGTTTGGCGGGTGGTATTTGAACCTGTTTTACGCTGGTGTAGAATATAGACTGAAACAATGCAAAGTTTGGAGGTGCACTTGATCCATTTCTCGCTAATTGAGGTTGAAGGTTAAACGTAATGTTTTCCTTTTGCAATTGGGATTCAAAGCCAGCGCTACCAGCCCACTGTTAGAGTAATCTAGACTTCCTGCGCAACCCGATCAAACATTGTGCTTTTGTGCTAGGCTGGCACAGCCCACACAGAGAGGAGCAGTGCCTCGCTAGCTCTGCCTCCTCCTCGCACTGCCACAACACAGACTACTGCTGAGCAGGTGAGGAGAGCCTCTTGACAACTTCCTTCCCAGACTCCCCAGGGCCCGGTGGCCAGGGTGAATCTTTTGTCATCCTAAAACAAGCTCGGGCCTGCTGCTCCTCCACTCTCGCCTGGAGTCCTGGAGACAGAGCCAGGAGAGGGGAAAATAATTAAAGACGCTTTATGTCAAGAATCCTCTTCTAGAGGGAGTCCAGCAGAGCCAAGAGGGGAGGGGAAAGCAGGAGGGAGAGATGGTGAAAAAAGCAAGAAGGTGATGGGCGGCGGAGGGAGGGAGGGGGTGAAGTGCAGTATGGAGAGGGTGAGAGAGGAAAATCAAGAATGCGAGTTTCCATTTCCTCGCCGATGTCCCCTCCTCCTCGCCGCCCCCGTGCTCCGCTCAATTAGCAAAGCAGCAGGTGCTCCCAGCAGCACAACAGATCGGTGGAAAGGCTGAAGCTTCTCCCTTTCTTTCCTTTCCCTTCTTTGAGATGACCTGCAAATGTGATACTTCACACCCAGAATGGGCTAGCTGTTTCTTCCACCAATTTCAGAGGTGATAATTTAACTTTTACCCCTCCGTCTCTCCCCCGCACCCCACCACCTCTCTCTCCCGATTTTCTTTTCCATCAGGTGTCCTCGCTGAAGAGCAAGCTGAAGAAGCAGTCGACAGCGACGGGAAGTGGTGTGGCGAGGGCCTTCCTGAGAGCGCAGGCTGCTCTGTTTGGATCCTACAGAGACGCTCTCAGATATAAACCTGTAAGGACGTCATTAATCACCATGTTAATCACTGAAAGTCACTGAATGTGCGTAAAGAGTGAGTTCGCTCAAACAATGGGCGACACTTTTATTTAACTTTTGTGGTGTAAAAATCACGCATGACAGCTAATGTGAAGAGTACGGTGTCCGAGTGTATATGTGCAAAATCTTTCACATGCTGGGAGAAGCGTTGTGACTCCTTCAGGCTCAGCTGACTGCAGGTTTCCCAACCTTATAAACCAGCGGTCCCCAGCCTTTTTTGCGCCACGGACCGGTTTATGTCCAGCAATATTTTCACGGACCGGCCTTTAAGGTGGCGCGGATAAATACAACAAAATAAAACCAGTACCGCTACCAAAAAAAAGAGTTAACGATAAAAACACCCGAGGCTCAACTCTCACGGTCCGGTCCAAACGACTCACAGAGCGGTACCGTGCGTTTATATACAGTACATTCATATGCAGTGATGCACATAGGCCGGTGTATTTTCTCCTAAGCATGCGCAGCACACAGCAGCATTTTCAGTTTGGCTGAACAGAGTCAAATTTAATCTGTTTCGACTCAAAGTGAAAGGTGTGTTTTCAGTCAGAGCGAGGAGCTAAGGTGGGCTTGTCTGAGACGGTGAAATGTCAGAGGAGCCGAAAAGAGTCGGGACGTTCCCTTTGAAGATCTCTTTTAGCCACCTTTGGTGTTTAACTCGCCTTTGCTAAGCCCCCTAACATTTCTTTTCTAGATCTTTTCTGCTTATCAAGTCTGAATCAGAGCACAGCAAACTACACCATGTCCTGTTTGTCAGATAGCAAAGCCTTTGTTCCTCTGGCTTTGAGATTAATTGGACTTTGTGGACTCCCGGAGTCAAGATGCTACATTATTGATGCTGTCTCTCTTTTCTTTGTATACAGGCTGTATACGAACAAACTGCCTCCCCTCTGACACAGGCGCCGAGACTCTGTGTGTTTGTGCGTGCGAGCGCATCGCGCGGCGATTTCTCAGTTCGCTCACGTTCACACACTGTTTTCTTTTAGACTTTTAGGATCTGTGTAAAAGCTTTGGAGTTAACATACATGCACAAACTACACTTGTGATTTAATAAAGAAGATCTCTACCCCGTGTCCCGAAATTTGGGGAATATCGCTCTGCTCGTCGTTCTGAAGGAAAGATCTTCCCGGAGAGAGCTGAGGCGCTCTGTAGTTCAGACCCATATGCCTCGACAGAAGGAGGGGTGTGGATGCTCGGTGAGAGTCTCGCTGGGTTGTAAATGAAACAAAACTCGAAAATGATAATGAGTCGAAAAGCAATCGGCTGATTATACGGGCAGATCGTCGGTTTCGGCTCACGTTAAAGCTCCCCAGGTGCTTCTCGCTAGCTCGGAGTAACATAGGTGTCTGACAAAAGAACCCGAAATAGCAAATCAGTTTTTACCACCATCGGTGAGGCCAGGCTGGGTAGGCGGGTGTGCGGTCGGTCCTATTCGCTCAGGTTTGACTAAACGACACGTGTAAGCAGTTCAGATCATCCAGCCAGATGTGAAGCTGTGGATAAGTGTGGTTGAGGTGCAATCGCATGTTTAAAAGTGGTAAAGATTATTTTAGACACAGAAACCTTCTCCGTGCATAATCTCAGAAAGTTACAGTTTGCTCACAAAATTTGCAGCTTTGTATGCAAAGTGCCTGCACAGATATAAGCCAGCATGAGATGGAAGCATCCAGAACATGCAATAAAATGTTTCCATTTTAAATAAAGACTGCGCATTAAAGCATGAAGCCTGACCGACACATCATCGTCTGTCTGAAAGAATCTTCCTCGTTTTTACTGTTGGCTCATCCTCAGCATTTGCAATTTTGGAATTCAATTCAATTCAATTTTATTTACACAGCACCAAATCCCAACAACAGTCACCTCAAGGTGCTTTATAGTGTAAGGTAGACCCTACAATAATACATACAACAATCATATGACCCACTATGAGCAGCACTTTGGCGACAGTGGGAAGGTAAAACTCCCTTTTAACAGGAAGAAACCTCCAGCAGAGCCAGGCTCAGGGAGGGGCGGGGCCATCTGCTGTGATTGGTTGGTTTGAGAGAAGGAAGACAGGATAAAGGCATGCATTGAACCCTGTGATGTGGTAAAATCACGCCAAGTCCTTCAATCGATGTTTGTTATTGTTCTGCTGTACAGGAAAAGTTCACCATGTGAACAAACAACAGGCAATCATCAAACTTTACACTTTTTCCTCTGTAACCTGGAAGCTTTGTGGTTCAGTGTAATGAGTCTCTTAAAATAGCTAAAATGATTGTTGTGCTCCTCCTGTAACGGTGCAGATAAAAACATGTTCGTCCTTCCCCACTATGGCGAAATCTGTTCTCTGTGCGTCCTCCTTACATTAAATATAGGGGGCTAAATGCTTCTCGCTCACTCTCAAGCCAGTAAAAAAAGAACAACTGTCAGCATGAAAAATAAAACCAGTAAAGCAGCCAGGAACGGTTTTCTTTCTACCACAGCAAACCCAAAGCAAAGCCGCGGTGCAACCACGGAGGAGATGCGCATCACCTTCCTGCTGGCAAATGTAGCCAAGTAGAAATTTCTCACCAGCTTTGTTTTCGTGTAACCAGGTGGTGATGAATCGAACAACCTCCGCAAACGCACATCAGTGAACTGTCCCTGTAAAGATGGGAGAGTCCTGCAGCGGCGCTCGTAGTCGTGCACGGCAGCTCCGAGTTTGAACACTGAGCTCTGTGTACTCGGGAATTTTTGTTTTTCCTTAGTAGCCGTTAGCTTCTCAGTATGCTATCCAGCTTTGCACGCTGCAGTGTGGTCTGTAGCTGATTAAACCGCGAGTCACTTTCAACTCTTACAAGATAATATGCCGTAAAACTTTTAGTGATGTAAGTGGAACTGTATTCCCGTGATGTAATTTGGGCCACTGGTATCCTCTACCAGTCCCTGAAAATGGGGTTATTCTCCAGCGTTGTTAAGTTGTTTTTATGTGGCGCGCTGTGCTCGTAGCCTGGAACAGACAAAGCACATTGTTTTACCTCTGAAGAATTTGGAGCATCGTTGAAATCTGTGTGAATTATGTTAATTATGAGAGAACGTGAACTGGAAAAGGACCGTGGGGCAGCGCGCGATTGGCCTGTAGTGGTTCTGTTGTCATCCTGCGTGTCTGTAGCTCACAGGCCGACAGACATGATGTAAGAAATGGTAATAATGCAATAATGTGTTCGTGTGGAGCACTGTTGGGTTTACTGGGACGTGTATCTGGTCCAGGGGAGATCATGTATGCATTGCCAGGGGAGCAGTTTCTAATTTTCCTTTTTTTGTTTTTTCCCCCAACTTCCACTCTTCCTCCTTCCTTCCTGTTTGGGTTTTAGCTCACTAATGAAGAAATCGTCTGAAATACTCGATGGTTAAAAGATGCAGCGTGTAACGATGCCACACATCATGTGCATGACACGAATCCTTCCATAAACAACAACAACTGGTGCCGTAAAAAAAACAGGATATCGCGTCTGTGCTGCTTCCTGCGGCTTCGTTGGTGCGAAAACAGATTGGTGCAAACAAAAATGAGTTTTGTTGTTTTTAAGCAAAAATGTTTTTCTGAACAGGGAGAGCCAATCACGTTCTGTGAAGAAAGCTTCGTGAGCCATCGTTCGAGCACCATGAAGAACTTCCTGTCCATGGCTGTCAACCTGCAGCTCTTCAAACAGGTACAAACCTGTGTGTGTGTGTGTGTGCGTGTGTGTGTGTGTGTGTGGTGGTGTGTGTGTGTGTGTGTGTGTGTGTGTGTGTGTGTGTGTGTGTGTGTGTGTGTGGTGTGTGTGTGGTGTGTGTGTGTGTGTGTGTGTGTGTGTGCGCGCGCGCGTGCGTGCGTGCGTGCGTGCGTGCTCGCTCTGTGCTGAAGTGGAAAGAATGTAACATCTTTATCTATATTTGCATTCTGTTCTATAAAAGAGGGCCGTTACTCGTCCTCAGATCAGCACCATCAGCTGTTGTATGCACACACTGAGCGACTGCTTACTTGGTCAGTTAATCTAACCTCTTCTATCAGGTTATTTTTGAGCATATTTCTTGTTTCCATTGGTGAAAGTTTTTATTTTTATAGATAAAAGTTGCCTGGTAGCTCGTCTCGTGCTCAGCAAATTGTCAGCTGGATTTGCAGGAACGTAGAGGCGAGAGGCCTGGGATTATGTGAGGTTACTGACCTCCAGAAACAGTTTACAGTGGATATCTCTTAGTGCACATCTTAATGTTTCTCTGCTCGGTTTTATCTGGTGTAAAAAAAGAAAAAACGATATCATGTCCACGTGTCTATAAAATCAAAATATGGGACCAGAATTTTAATTTGCTCCTCAGAAAATCTAAAATCCGCCTCGTATAGGTTTTGTTAACTCCGCCGGGGTGGTGTGTGTGTTTACTTGCTGTGTGTTTGTGTGCCTGAGCGCGAGCAGGTATCCTTTATTCATGTGTGGTTTCCCTTAAAAACCACTCATGTATACTTAATATGTTTTTCCCCCCAAAATCCCTTCAGTAATACTAAACTTAGCAGAGACGAGTGGAAAGACACCTCTGGCACCGAAGAAAATTTCCTCTCGCCCCTCGGATTTTTCTTTGCGCTCTCTGACCCACGATACTAGTGCGATTTACCCCCGAGAGCGCAGCACAGCAGCCCTCAATCAACCTTTTGTTTCTCTGGACACTCTGTTTATAATTTTCCCAGGCAGAGCAGATAGCGAGCAGCGGTTCAAAGCATCCTCCCGGCTGGCTCACGCCTCAGCGGTAGCATTGGGAAACAGGCCCTTATCTCCTCCTCCTCTCCAGCGCAGGAGATGGGGCGAGCTTATCTCCTCCACTCCTCTCGCTACTAAAGTGAAAGAGGCCAGCGGTTCACCCGAGCGCTGCTCTGGCCGTGACCTACATCCACTCGGAAACACACAAACAAAACTCGACTGGCGTGGCCACACACGTGCACGCATTTGTTTTCTGTGGTCCTGGAGATGGTTGGATTTTTATTTTCCCAGCTCATTCTTACCCGACGACACTCTCATTATTTGTTTTAACGCAATACATCTTTATCGTCACGTCACCAGCTGACGACACAAAAGTGCGCGTTAGAAACTCGGACTGCTGCCTTTTATTAAACAAATGGATCAGCATCCACAGATGTGCAGGGATTAGAGTCTTTCTTTAATTATTCTGCTTCCTGTTTGTTTTCCCTTTTCTCCGGCCGAGGTGAGCACTTTGTGCTTTATTCCCGGCGGGATCGTTGACAGAGGGAACCACGGGCCAATCGTAGCTTCCGTTTTTAGGCTTTGTCGGTGTAAACAAACAGTCTCAACGCTCAAACGGAACGAAGCTACACAACAACCCAAATGGGCGGTTTTAACACCGTCAACATTACGCCGGCAGTAAAATTTAAACCACATTGTTGGACTTGACAGACCATATTACACACGTGCGTAATGTTGAGGTGTTACCTTAGTTTGAGGTGTTACCGTTTCAGCAGGAAATTGCTTTTCTGCAGGTACTTTGTGTTTTTGGAGTGTTTTAATTCACTGCATAGCAGCTCTTTGGTTCTGCAATCAGCCAAGTCAAATAATCAGAGTTATTCATGCAAACTCAGGAGTTTGTCATTATAATTATGGAGCTAAAGACCCTGTAGTGTCACATGACGTTTAAGGCTAATAGTTGCATTTAATGCCCTTATTATAACAACTGGACTACCTCCTATTACTAAAAACCTACTGTTGTTCTGGTTCTTAAGTGAACCGACCCTAAAATAAGTAGACACAAAAGTTAGACCCCCCCCTCTAAAATGTCACATTTTCACCTTCTTGCAAACTCGCAGTTTCCTGCAGTGTTTCCTCTCTGCTCGGTCCACCAGCTCATCTCTGCTCCGAGCAGCAAGTGGGAGAAATCATCCAAAAGAATGCGGGGGGGGGGGGGGGTCTGTCAACGTTAACCTGCTTCCTATCAACCATCCTCAGCTCCTACACGTACAGCAGAGACTGAGTCAATGAACTCTTTCTCCTATTGACAAAACGAAGCCATGTGCTGTTTCACTGGGACTTGGACTCCAGTGATTTATTATGCATCAGTCTTGGCGGATAAGAACAAGATTGTCGAGGAATGGTGTGTAATAAATTAATCCGTTGTGTGCGGTCGCAGTCTCGCAGTGCAGAAAGCACACTTTATTGTGTATCACAGCTGCTGCAGGAAACTGGAAAGTAAATATTATTTTAGCGGCAACAGGAAAAAATGCAAAATGCAGCTTTTTCATATTTCTAGTATTTGCATGCGTCCTTTTTTCATGTCTATAAGCATGCTTGATATGTACTCCAAGAGAGCACGAGGGAAACAAAGAGACATTTAGAGTCGAAGCGCTGCAGCAGCACTATCATCTGTTCTTCATACTTTCACTTGTCTGTCTTCACATATTTAGTTTGGCTTGGATTTGTTTTTAAATCAGCAGCAACATTTGTTTGAGTCTTGAACAAGTAAATGACTCGATTTCCAAATGTTGGCGAAATCAGAATTCTGAGTAACCGTGAAAGCTTCATTAAAGCTGGCCCTCGTTCGGTCCCGTCGTGGTTCTTTCCTCAGAGTTTCCTCTTTTGAAGAATCCGTTACTGTCTCGCTATTTAAAAATATCCTACGTGACCTCGCCATGAGGCCAACAACGGTGCTGGTGCCAAAGATGCTCATGTGAGTAGGGACTCGACTTCTTTTGTCCTAAAGCAGCAAAGCTGTTGCTTACAAAGGTTAGCTTTAGCTTCAGCTTTACCAACAAAACTAAACTAAAAACAAAAATTACCAACAGGCCAAGAGGTACTTTAGCACAGCGGTCGCCAACCTTTTTTGTGCCGTGGACCGGCCTTTAAGGTGTCGTGGATAAATACAACAAAATAAAATCAGTACTGGTACCAAAGAAAAGATTTATTCGTAGCAAATGGGAAAAGACCCAGGAAAACTGAGTTAACGATAAAAACAATAAAAAAAATAACAATAAAAACCCTGAAAACCATCAATTTCACACCCGAGCCTCAACTCTCGCTGCCCGGTACCAAACGACTCATGGATGGGAACCGGGCCGGGGGTTGGGGACCGCTGTTCTAGCAAGTAGTAATACAGTATGATGTCATGGGAAGCAGTACATCAAAAGAACGACCCATTTATGCTGCCTGGGAAAATGTCTTTGTTTCATTCCTTTTCCTCACTTAGCTTACCAGCGAATTGTGTTGTGCAGTTGGGCGAGTGTGTGAGGCCCGCCTGGGTCGGACGAGAGCATGAAATATCCTTGATCTTAACATGCAGGGCAGGTGAACGCGCACAGACAGGCTTACCTACCAGCCAAACGCAGGTTATAAAATGTTAGTTTGACGGCTGCAGAAATTAGAGATGGACCGATCCGATATCACGTATTGGTATCGGTCCGATACTGACGTAAATTACTGGATCGGATATAGGAGAGAAATAAAAATGTAATCCGATCTATTAAATATCAAAAAAGCACCTCACAGAACTTGCGACATGGCGTAACTCGGCTCATAACCGTAGCACATCGGAGCAGTGTGGTCACGTGATAGAGCAGCTGTGTGTGTTTGTAGCTTCGCTACCAAACCGACATCTCATCCCAGAGAGAAGTAAAGCAAGTGTGCAAGTTCATCTCTGAATGTTTGTAAAGCATTCCCACGTTAAGCTTAACAACCGATATATGGAGCGACTGCCTCCCCCTCCCTCTCCTGCTGCTGCTTCAATAATGAAACTGATCAATGATCAGCTGATCGTCTCTCTTGTTTGTTTTTGGCCCACTTTGCACCAGAAAGAGGAAACCAGCGGCTGAACAACAGCAGCACGTTTAAGCTTGATCAGCTGTTGTTAGAATTTATTTAATATTACTTTCTACACCAGGATCTTTTTCTACGCAGCTGACGGCTGTAACTGTGCAGGGGCGGATCTAGCAAAGTTTAGCCAGGGGGGCCGATAGGGCATTAACAGGGAAAAGGGGGCACAAAGACATACTTTTCTTTCTTATTCTCATTTAAAATGTCGAGCTTTTAATAAATAATTATCTGAATCTTACACCCAAAGTTTTAATCTGATGTAAAATGTATAGAAGTCCATTACTGTATATAGTAACTGTTAAGTCTGATATACCCTAGTAAGCTATAGTACTTCTTCCATCTGTGCAGTTCTGTAGAAGAAAGATGTTGAATCTATTTAATTATTCTTGAAAAATAATTTATTTCTGAGCACTTTTTTTTCCAACCTGCATCAAATTAAAGTTGATTACGTCGATTAAGCGTCATGAGGTGGAGCGTGGGGGGTGGTTCCCTATTTTTATTTTTTTATTTTTTTTGCTGGGAGTTTTAGAGCCCTATTGATTAGGTTGCTTACTCTTTAAAATACCAGAATAGGGAGGATGGAGCAGGTTTAAGTTTATTAGATTGATCAGTTTTGCTGAACTATGAAATATTTTGTTGTATTTTTTGCATACAGGTGTAACAGAGTAGCTTTAGTGTTTTTTTTTAACTTGAGTATGAACTTATACAAAAAGCAGCAAGATATTAAAAAAACAGTTTTATTGATTAAAAAACACATTATATCGGATTCATATCGGTATCGGCAGATATCCAAATTCATGATATCGGTATCGGGCATAAAAAAGTGGTATCGTGCCATCTCTAGCAGAAGTCGCTCAGTTCAAACAACGTTCAAACGTTTTATTAGACCAGATTATGGAGGCAGATGGTGAAGCCACATCATCGTCTACAGTCCTCCCTTTATTCTTGATCGCTGTATTATAACATGTTTCCTGCGTACAGTAGTGGTCGTACAGGCTACTTGGGCGTAAGTCCTGGATCTTCAGGAGAGAACGCAGCATCCTATTCTATTAGTAAAGGACCTCCTTTACTCTTCGCCCAACACCTCCATGCAAAGAGAGCGGTGAGGAGAAGCACAGTGTTGATGAGGTACTGAAACTCTACTTTCCAAAGAAGCCTCAGCTCTCGCCTGCTTTAGTCCCAGTGATGCACACAGGTGGGGATGTCCTGGGCTCTGCCTCCTCCCCTGTTTGTCCAGAGGTCCCAGAAACCTGTAGTCCAAGGACCCAAAGCCAGACCACAGATGGCAGGATAGTTCTGGATCAGGTGGCCAGTTATTTGTCATGGCTTATAGTAGCAGAAGCTAGCTCCCCCCACCACCACCATCAGGTTGTATAAGTTGGCACAGCACCCGTCCTGGTGTCGAGCTCCTTTAATGGGCGGTTCCAAGAGTGAGACATGCTAATCAGAGAACCTTGGTTATATCTGTAACCTTAACCATCCCCCACCACCCTTATTTAAGGCGGTATGAAAAGGGTCTGTTGTGTCTTCGTTCTTGTGTTTATGGACATGCTCATGCGCTTGAACACCAGAATGACTGTTTTTTGTTTTTAATTTATTTATTTGAAGTGCTGGTTTGTATGTGTGCGAGAGTGTGTTGATCACAGGCTGCCATTGATGAGTAATGTCTAATTAAGGCCCACAATGAGGCAGGTAATATGGCTGGGGGTGGGGTGGGGAGTGTAAGCGGAGGCTCTGGCTGGGTGATGATTTGGGTTGATTATCTGCGCTAATTGGGCCAGCCATGAAGCAGAGCACCGGTTGGAGGCGGCGCTCTCACCTCTCATTAAAATGATCTAATGATGAGTTTCCAGCTCTTCTGACCGTGGGCGCGGGTCGACGTGTCGGCCGCTAGTTAGCAGGCTGTCCCTGAAGACATGCACCCAAGAACAGCCTCTGCTGCTGTTATACTTTGGCCACGCTTTCAGGGGTGGAAACGGGACCGCTTGGAAATCAAATGGCAGCATGTTGCCTCTGTGCTCGTATGTTATTAAAATCCTTAAACATTGTTTGAAAGGTAGTAGGTGTTGATCACTAATTAATGGTAATAATTAGTGAAAATTCCTGCTTTAAATGCAGATGCAGATATATATGTTTGCATATCATTATATGCATTTATTTATTTAAATAAGCACAATGGCACATTGTTACTTTTCCCTCCAACCTCCACACAACAAGTTTAAAATGTAAACATCTAAGTTTGAGATAAGAAAATCAAATCTGTGCAAAGTTGTCTTTTCTGCATTTTCACACAGTTTTAACGACTCTTAGCAGACTTGTTAAAACTGCAGTGTGTGTGTGTGTGTGTGTGTGTGTGTGTGTGTATTTTGTTCCTTTTTGTTAACATCCACAGACTTGCCAAGTTTAACCCGATGATGTCACAATAGAGGTTCGATCATAAAATAAGCTTTGGGACTAGAAGCTAACGCCAACCTGTGGTCAGTTTGGTTGGATGAAGTTAACAGAACACCGTGTGTGTGTGTGTGTGTGTGTGTGTGTGTGTGTGTGTGTGTGTGTGTGTCTGTGTGTGTGTGTGTGTGTCATCAATGTTCCTATAATGATTTTCTTCATGTTCAATATTTTAGAAATGTAATTTGTAGTTTCTTTCCCCTAAAAAACCCCAAACACGGAGCCATAAAACATTGAACTAATAAGAATCTGCACTGCTTGGCACACCACAAATCTTATGTTAGGCCAAAATATTAAGGAACAAAGCCTTTGATGTCTTTGTAGCTGTTACACGTATAATTCAGTTTCCCGTCTCATCTCTGCTTTTTTAAGTTGCAGCCTCAGTCTGGGCGACTCCGTTTACTTTCATGCTTTTTAAAGAATGCTGTTTGTTTATTCTGTTCATCTTAAATGTTTACTTTGTGTTTGCAAACGTTTGTGTTGCGCTTGTGGTTGCGTAACATATTTACGCGCGCCTGCGACTGCGCTCGTGAAACGTGTCGCTGTCTAGCTGTTAAGTCCATATTTACGAGTGCGAGTTTTTCTGCTCGCCACGTTACAAAGGGAGGAAATGAAACTTCCTCGTGTCTCAGACAGAGTGTAGCATGTCGTCTGCTGCTCTAATCCCTCACCTGCTCCGCATTACCAAATCCCTATTACCTGCAGCCCAACTAATCTTGGGATGTAGTTTCCGTCAGGTAGGATTAATAACACCCCTCTGTGGCTGCTGGAGTGTTTGTATCTGTGTGAGTGTGTTCACATCCCCCCACCCCCGGCTCCCTTCTTTAATAAGCATGTTTAAATTTATGGTTGCAGTTCATCGACGGACGGCTGGCCAAATTGAACGCAGGCCGTGGCTTCACTGACGTGTTTGAAGAAGAGATCACAGAGGGGGGCTTCTGTGGAAGTGAGTACTGCTGGACTTGTCTGTCAATTAGCTGCGTTATTTTTATTTGCCATATTTTAATGCAACACACAGGAAGTGTCAGCGAACAGAACGAGGTGAGGCCGCTAAACTGAAAATAATTAGAAGCCTTTTTAAAAAAACTGAAATGCTGATAAATTATGTTCACTCAGTGTTTGAGGCCTGCTGTAAGATATCGCAGCTGCAACCATGTCGATGTTAATGCACTGATTATTATATAAGTGACACTGATGTCATGACTTGCAGTTGCTCTTTGCTGTTCTCAGGTTTAAAGTTTCACACGCATCCTGAGTGTTGTTTGTTCTCGGGCCGATAATAAAACGCACGTGTGAACCTAGCAGAGTGCAAACCAAAGAGCTTATTGTTTCCTGTTAAAACAAAGCCTCGCAGGACAAATTTGATCATATAATCGCAGCAACACAGATTTTAGACGGTAAAGAAAAGAAGCGGTGCCATCCAGATGTTGCTGCCGTCGTGCTTTTAAGCTTTTCAGTGTGAACTCTGACCCCGACCACACTGTGGTCTGATAGGAGATTCTGAGAACTATAGAAAATCTCCATAGACTTGACAAAGGCATTTGACTCTATAGATCAGGATATATTAATAAGAAACCTGGAACATTACGGTGTCAGAGGGGTCGCTCTAGATTGAGTCCAGAGTTATTTAACTGACAGGAAGCAGTTTGTGAAATTAAATGCTCCCTATGTGCACATTGCTTGTGATGTACCCCAAGGGTCAGTTTGGGCCCCAAATTCTTCAACTCAACACTAAACAAGGCAAAGCAGGTATTAGACAGAACATCCCTTCATGTTCTACTGTTCACTGGTTTCACCTTACTTAAGCTACTGTGCAGAGGTCTGGGGCCACAACTGTAAAACTACATTACATTCACTTTGTACTCTTCAAAAAACGCAGTTTGAATCATCCACGCTGCAGGTTACAGGTTACTGCAGTCTGAAATATTGAAATGTGCCGATCTAGTGAAATTCCAAACAGCACAAATTCTATTCAAAGCAAAAAATAAGGAACTGCCAGGAAATATTCAGAGTATGTTTGTTCTTAAAGAAGTTATAATTGAAGGGGTTTTTGTAAGTGAAGGTCCGTACTGCAAGAAAAAGCTTCAGTGTTTGTGTGCATGGAGTGAAGCTGAAGCAACGTCCAACAGAAAACGGTTCAAAAAGAGTTAAAAATATGATCTTCTTGAACTATAAAGACATGAAAATGTTGAAATTAAGTGAAAGTCTCTAGAAAATGTCATGATGTGATATTAACTTTATTTTGTGTAGTATTTTTTTCTCTTTGCTAAATGTTGCTGTTTATTGTTTGCATGATCAAAGTAACAAACAAAACAGTCGATTATTTTACATAACGATGTTTCACTGTGGCTGCATTTCCAGCAGCCAGTATGGGGCTTCTTTTGAACCCTGAACGATTAATCACATGTCCTGTTTTATACGTCCTGTCAGGTAATTCTCGGTCTTACCAGCAGTGGATGCACACCGTAAAGGTATTTACCGTACATGCTGTATCTACATCTATACCTTTCCCAGTGCTTTTATTTTTATATATATTATTCCCGAGTTATACTTAATTGAAAGCATGACAGGCGCGACTTGGCGTTTGAAGCCTCGCCGTTGCCTTTGGAATGAAGGCGCCGCCTGAACGCGCAGATCGAGCTCGAGTGCAGTTGGGTGCGTGTGAAGCGGCGCGTGCAGCAGGACAGCGGAGACGGACGGGGAGGGAGACGGAAGCGATTTGACGTGACAAGACGTCCTCCGACATGACGTGTTGATCTGGCAGCAAACACGGGCGTTACTCCGCTGAACCACGCCGAGAACACGCGTCTCTCCCGCCTTCATCTCTCTCTGGCCATTTCCTCCTCTTCTCTTATCCGTCTGTCTCGCTCTCTCATTTCTGTCACAGCCCCCCCCCCCACCCCACCTCACCACAACCTTGGCCTCTCCCTCTCTCACTCACCCCCCCAAAGCCGTCAGCTAAGGCTGAATTAGTCCTCTAGAGTGCTCTTCAAAGGTTTGTTAAAGTTCATATTTCCTGACTGACAGGGATCTATAAGAGGGGCCTTCACCTCGGCCCCTCTTCTCCTCTCCCTCTGCCAACTTCTGAAACGCTGCCTGCCATTTACTCTGTTTAGCCGTTTAGCCGGCGCTTTGTGCTTACACTAAAGACCCAGCAGAGAGAAAAGAGTTGAGACGCCAAAGGAAAAAAGCAGCAAATCGGAGAGACAAAGAAGAAAGGCGGCGAGAGATGCTGGGTGCCATAATGTCAGTGTGCAGAACTCAAAGTACGAATCAATCACATACCATCCTTTCTATCGCTGTTTTAGGCTGCTTCTAAATAAAACCACGTCGTCTATCGCTGCTCGCTGATACTGTTTGGTGTTTATGCGTCGCTGTTAGCAGCTGTGTTGTTTTGTAGATTGTAGCTAAGGTGTGCGCTGTAAGTCGTGCTGCGGCCAACGTGTGGCGAGTGACATAGGAGCCGATCAATCGGTGCGATCGCCCGGTGTGGTTTAACGTGAGCCGGAACTCATTTGTCGCCAGACTGATTGCAGTGAAAGTCGATAAAGCCGCATCTCTGCGGCTGTAGCAGTAATTGATTCAAATGTTCTTTTGAATGTTTGTGCGTTTGCCCCAAGCGCCCGTCCCTGACTGACTGTTTCCGTGTGTTACAGAGAGGAGGAGCGCTCTTCAACACAGCCGTGTCAAAGGTAAAGTGTTGCTTTGCATTCGTGCACAACAAGGATTCAAACCTGGAAGAAAAAGAGGTTTTAAAGATGTTTTTAAAGGTTTTCAAATGAACTTTTTCAAACTTGGCCGACGAGTCGCCAACAATCAGGAGAATTGTTCACAGCTAGTAGATATTAGATGAGCGTGTTGTTATGTGGCGTACGGTAGGGTGGCCGGGGTGCCCCGCCTGGATGTGCGAGGCTCTCTCATCCCGCCTCTTGTCTGCATGTTTTTTTGCCACGGGGATCAAAGTATTTCTTGATGTTACATGAAACCAGAACAGAATGTTAATGCAACATGTTTTGTGTGTACTCTGTGTCTTACTGTGTGTGTGTTTCCCTCCTAGGCCAAGGTTCATGCTAAGAAGGGTATCCGGGACTTTAGGGGCATACTGAAAGCAAGGGTGAGCTGCACCGGACCTTCGCACGCTGTCGGGGGCGTGCAAACACACCCGCGCACACATCATTTTGTTGGGAGGCCCTCGGATGGATACATGCCTCCCTCATAGAAACAGACAGGAAAGCTGCTTTACATGGAGTGTGTGATTCTGACGTAGGGGCCTTTTAATGACTGTTGAAGCCTGCTTAGCGCTTTGTTCAGGGCTGTACATTTTTAACCAGCGCCCCTCTGGCTATGGCCTGTCATGTCATCCGAGCCGCAGCCCCTTCTTTCTCTCTTTATTGTCTGCATATTTCATCAGCGAGCCTGTGATTTCCTCAAAGCTAATGTAACGAGGTGTATGTTTCCATAAGCCTGATGGATTTGATAAGGCAATAGCAGTTTGATCTGTCAGTGGGAAACCGAGAGGCTCAGGGTGCTGATGATGAGCAGGAGGGGAGGGCGCAGCGGCGGCAAACAGAGGTGCGGAAAGTGTTTGATTCTCCGCTTAAACACGTTTCCTTTTTAGAGAAATTAATTTATGATGCGATTCAAACTGCACCGGATTTCTTTTGCTGCCAGCTGCACGACCCCAAGCGGGGGCCCTAAAACCACGAGCATGTCGATGCGTCAGAGGTGGTTACCGTGGTTGTTGTTGTCGTAACTCAGAGGGAAATGTTTCAAGCGACAGAGCGAAAGGCATCCATCTGTCTCGTGCTGAAAAATGTCTCGTAGAAGTGAAAAGTTTGTTTTTGGCTCTGAGACTGAAGAACAACCAGACTTTCATCAGTTTTAATAGCAGTTACGTGTATTTGCTCGTGATTCTTTTTTCTCCGACTAATTTGGTGCATTGAGTATTTTCTGCATCACAAAGCGTCCACGTATAGTTGAAACTGTGTCACGCAGAGGAAACCAGGTAAAGCCACGTGGATTTGTCGAAAACCAGCCAGAGACTGATCGCTTAACCTTTAACGTAACGTTACTGTGAGGCGGCATCAGACGGCTTCGTTGCATTCATTGCTCTTTTGTATGGACGTCGATATTTACGCCTGTTTTGTAACCGAAATTCATCTTCTTTGTCAGGACGATGAAGAGGAGGGGATCGTGGTCTATCCAGGATCTCCAACCAGTACCAAGAGCCTGTCTCCAAGGAGACTGCAGAAGATGAGACGGGTATGACACACACACACACATCAGTAAATGAGTTAACTACATTTACACTGACTGATTACAGCAGAGCTCACTTTCACTTGACCAGAATGGATTCAGTGTTTTTCCTCTGAACTCTTTTCAGTCCACTCCCTCCCCCCCACATCTCTCTGACTCCCCTCCCTCCCTCGTTCTCCCCCAGCTCTCTGTCTCTCTTGTAGCATCTCTCAGAAGTACAGTAGTTTGTCAGGGTGCCAAATGTAACGATAAGCATTTTTTCCTCGTTCAATGCGCTCGTGTTGTACATTCAGTGTTTTCCTCTGAACAGCACGGACAGTCGAATCAGCTCATCTGCTGGTCAGCGTTTCCTCTGAAGAATTTGCTTGTGCACCATAAGTGCTAGCACTTTTTTTTTGTTCTTTGTTGTGTGCAGAGCGTGCACACGCACAAAACACACATTCATCAATAAATATGCGAGGAGAAAATACTCTGTAGTTTAACTATTAGACGCTGCAGCGCGGTGTAAATGAAAATGTGTAGATTTAGCATCGCGCCGTTGGAGTCGCACACATCTGTGCTAAACAAATGCACACAGCCTCGAGGATGCTGCTTCTGCTCCTGCCTCGCGTCTGTGCTCGGCTGGTCCAGGCTGGAGCTTTTCCACCTCTTATTGCTAAATGAATATATGGACTCCCAGTTCCCAGCTTTAAAGACGCACACACACACAAACACGCCTGCGTGCACATTCTGACATTTTGGTCACAGTCGTGTAAGAGTGTGATTAGGAGAGGTTGTGCTGTCTCTAATTAGTGTTGTATTTCCTGTGTGTGTGATGAGGCTGGAAAGTCTTAGCGCAGAGGAAGGTGTGACGGCCGGGGAGAAGAGAGGAACGGCAATTAGGGCTTTTCTAAAGGCCTCCTCGGACACCTCCCGCCCCCCAGCCGGCATGCGCGTGCACCCCCACAAACATGCACGCACACACTTTTTTTATTCAGGATATACAGCCCCGCTCGTACCGCCGAGGCCCGCTCATTGCCACAGTAACGGGTCCCTGGAGACCGCTGGAGGAGGGACACGCAGGACACAGGACGGCGTGTCCCACAGCGCCGCTTTGTGTGTTTGTGTTTAGATGTAGTCCATCAGTTTCTCTTCCCGATGATGCTCCCGTTCTTTGCTCTCATAATATTGATTTTCTCTATTTGCATATTAACCAATTCACACAAATCAAAAGCACTTGCAAACACTACTTGGTTTAATTGATGAAATGGATATTAATTAATATTCATGCACATAAATCCTCGGCTGCAGGTACAGGCCTCAATATTTTATTGTATTTTGAACAAATAGTCTGCAGTTTTTTCTCTACGTCAGTAATTTCTATACTTTGAACCGCTTAGTGCAGCACATTTACATTTGATCTGAAGACGAGCGTCACCGTTGTTCTCGCGCTCGCCGTGTCTCACTCGTCTCTTTTTGAAATTATTTTCTTCAGCTTTCTATGAAATGTTCGTGCTGTTGTTCTGCCCACAAACGTCTTGACCAGGTGTTCCTCGCACGAGAAATTGATCTCAGTGGGACTAACCCAGTTAAATAAAGGTTAAGTAAAGTGGAAAAGAAGCACCTTGATCCGCCTCCCTCGCTCGCGCCCGCACGTTTGGCCCGCGCTCATCGTTAAAAGTTTTTTAATCTTTAGGGGTTTTTTGTCGTGTCTCTAACCACACAGCAAACATTTGTCTCAACAGTGCAAAAAAATCCTTGTAAATATTTGTGCACTTTTAAGATCAATGAGGGTAAAACGATGAATAAAAATAGCTTTCAGTGCAAGGCGATAAAAACCTACAGTGAAAATGTAAAAAGTAACACCGTCATGAATGTGTGTGTTCATGCAGACTTATTTTAAGTGTACTTATTAAACTGGCAAAGACTTTTGCTTTAAAAACAATCCAGTAAACACATCATGAAACATGAGCGTCTGTTTTTTATTATTTTGAGAGATTTTCTGCACCTTTTCCTTAATTTCTGCACTTAATTGACCAACAAGTGGAGTCAGTGCGTCGCTGAGCCAGGAGAGAATACACTGCTGTTACACGTCTAATAAAGGTAATATTACCAGCTAATTTGTTATTAAAGCATTTTGTGCTGCGTGCACTAAACCCATCAGCGACGCCTCCACCGTACGTTTAACCGAGTGACCGTCGGAGCGCCGTCCACCTGAAACACGTCAGCTGCAGAGACGCTGCAAACGCCAACGTGGAAGAAAAATGTTGCTTTTTTTAAACAAATCTTTTTCTTTGCACACATCTCTGTGTGTCCTTGAAATGAAACGAATGATCCCGCAGAAGCTCCTTTAATTAATCATAGCGAAATAATCATAGTTACCAAATTCCTTTTCTATTTGATCAGCCAACACATGTACCAGAGAGGAAGTGCTGCTGTCATATGCATTCATATTTCAGCTGCTTCCGCCAATGTGGGTGATTTGTAGTGTTTGGTGAGCGTGTTGATTAAGAATGTGGGAGTAATCCTTTCGTTTGACAGAAACGAGGCTGAACGGGGCAACAAACAGCCATTGTTCTGGCTCCTGTATGGTTTCCTGTGAGCACCAGTTTCTGCTCAAGATTTAGCTTAGTGTGTGTGTGTGTGTGTGTGTGTGTGTGTGTGTGCGCGCGCTTCATGTGGCACTGTGCTCCAAACATCTGTGAATAGAAACTATGTCTGTACCTCATCCCTTTAGTATGTGAGGCTGTATCTGAGTGCTGTGCACAAACATGCATTTATCAGTTCGCCTCAGGTTGGAGGCAACTGAATGACAGCTGTTAGGCGTGCAGAGGAGAGCAGAGGTCGGGACAGCGTTATGGGCAATGACAGCCAGCAGGCTTGTGGCCGGGCTCAGCCCCCGGGCTGTGGACTCTTCACCTGGTGAAGCAGGAGAAGTGCCAGCTCAGAGTTGAAGGGAAACAGGAAGCTAGCACAGATGTAAAACAGGAACAAAGTCTGCAGGATACTTGAGTGTGTGCGTGCGACGATGAAAGGCTGTCATTTGTCTCCGAGATCAAACGTGTTTTTACTGATATGTGTTTTAAAGACATTATTACCTTTATGTTCTGTGTAAATGAAGATGCTTTAACGGGGACAGCACACAGACCCGTCTGGGTAAAGTGGTTGGATCTGAAAGTGTCACAGCTCAATAATCTAAATTTTAAATGTGACTCTGAGTGGAGAATAGGTTTGTTATACTCATCATAAGATTAACGCTGCGCATTAGTAGCAGCAGTTTGGATGTGTTAGCGTACAGTTGCTCTGTGTGCTTCCCTGGTATCTGCATGCATGTGCAGTCTCCTCTCCACTTAGTTTCTAAGGTCTTCAGAGACCCGCCGGCTTCCTGGCTGAAACCAAAGTGCCATCTCCTGGAAGCTTCAAAGTACTGCATCGCACCCACTGAAGGACACCTGGTGATTTTTCTTTTTTTAACCTGAGGTGTTCGGTTTGACAGAATGAGCATAATGCACATTTCGTCTTCTTTTATACGGCTCCTGGTTTGAGTGAAAAGGAAGCTTTCAGCAACAGCCAGTTGGACAGAGGAGCAGTGGATCGCTCCTCAAACGCCGCTTTTTTTCTCCTCTCCCTTTTTCGAGTGAGCGGCTCTTAAACAGGCAGACACTTGGCCGTACTTCTGCAAAGGCTTTGCTTCTCCCCGAGGTTTGTTTGCATTTACTGGAATCTCTTTACATACACTGCCAAGCTGTGAGATTAGTGCCCGCTCTGAAATACCATATGAAATGTATAATGTTCAACCAGCTATTAAAGCCCACTAGCGTTTGGCCCTGTCACAGAGAGTTGTTCTGTATAACTGGTCATGCAGGGAAGGAAAGCGGAGGAGAGACCAACTTTGTCCAAACACAGCTTGTCAGAAGCACGGTGGCGACCTTTTCCCCGACTGAAGAAATGAATCGAATCTGAGTTTTTCTTCTTTACGTGTCTTTGCTCGATGTAATCTTAGCTTGTTTATAGCCGCCATGTTTACAGTAGTAATGCATTAAAAAAGTCCATAAAATCCGCCGATCCTTGTTTTTAATTCGACAAACCCCCGAGTTTTTTAAAATAACCTGTTTTTATTATTTTCGCGACTTCTGCTTGTCGTGGTGAGGAGGAAGGAACGGAGAGCCCGACAGATGGAAACGGTGACATCTGTCACTGACAGCCGAGTGATGGAGGGAAGGAAATGAAAGACGGGAGGCGTGGAGCGAGAATCGCTTTTTCATTTTCGCCTTTCAGCTTCCCATTAGCCGACAGCGAGAAGCTAATGAAGGAGCGGTATGATAATGTGCTGTTCTCCTGCTCGGTGCTCTCCTCTGTCCTGTCAGGCCTGTGGCGATGTGGGACGGTGACAGAGCTGTCGCAGCTGTAACAGCAGACCTGTTTGCACTGGTTAGGAATATCTCATCGTGCATGTCTCTGTATTTATATTTTATTTGCTGTTGTTCACATCGACGTGCAGCCAATCTCATTTCTGAGCTCCGATTTTAACTGCTGCTCTTGGTTGTGACAGCTCCGCAGAGCCGGTAATCAAGTAACTACCAAATGCACACTTTGATTTATGACGGCGGTTAAATGAACTCAGTATGCTGGCCGTTAAAGAAACGAAGAAGAAGAAGTGATAAAGCAACCCCTGCTCTTTTATTGTGAAACGCCTCGTTGTTGTAAATAGTTTGGTCTTTCCTGTTGCTCTGAGGGTCACAGTGAAGAGAGGGAATGACAAATTGATAAAGCCGTGAAGTGACGTCCCATCTATTTACTGCTCCCTGCGGTACTTCCTGTTGTGTAGACAGAGCTGTAACCGAGATCAGAGGGCCGGGCGTCGTGACCTGTGTCCGGTCGCTTTAATAAACACCTACACGCAGAGAGAGGAGCTGCGTTCATAAAGGATATAGAACATGCGTCTGTAGTGTTTAAGAAAGTATTTTTGTGTCCGAAGCCGACGCTCCGCGAGTGTCTCACAGGTGCATCTCTCGCTCTGCTGGCGTGCTTTGCTGGCTGGCGTGCCGGCCTGGCCCCAGATTTACTGCCCTGACACAGGAATCCATTAAAAGCTGTTTAGGGATCCCAGGCCTGAGCCCCTCTGAAATCTCTTTCATTATAGCTCCAAGCTACCATAGAAGGGGAGTGGCTCGGCCAATCAGCAGTGCCACCACATGTGTTTGTGTTTAGCCCGATGGCTGAGAGGCTTAAGTGGCTACTGCACACATCTCCTCGGCTGACTTTTATGGAGAAAATGGCACTTTAACTCTTTGTGTTTCTTTTTTTTTTTTTTTTTTTGTAATAGTGTGCATGCGTGTGTGTGTGTGTGTGCGTGTGTGTGTGCATGCGTGTGTGTGTGTGTGTGTGTGTGCATGCGTGTGTGTGTGTGTGTGCACACGTGCGTGCACACAGGCCCTAAATGAGGCCAGCGCAGCCACACGTTACATTCCGCCTGTCTGGCTGGCACCGCGTCAGCTAATCAAGACCGGCTTGCTTCACCGTTCCAATACTGACCCCCTCCAAACTGCCCCCGCCCCTCAAACACACACTCGCACACCATTCCCATCATTCTTTGGGGCTTTGAGGAATCCTGCCTCACCTCTACATTTCCTTCCTTCCCGTTTTCACTCGTTTACCTTCCTCTCTCGCTCTTTGTTCTGGCGTTTGAGTCACGGTGCACGATCACAATCATCCTCAGAGTTCCTTCCCGACACTCTGATCACTTTTGAGGCTGAACAACATCTTTTTTTTCTGGGTGACGCCTTTGATAACGCAGCTTACGTTAGTTTAAAGAGAAACGTGCAGAGAGGTGGAGCCTAAAAGTGGTATTAAAAAGCAGAGAAAACATCGCTGTAACCCACTGCGGCGGTGCTGTAACTGCACCCACGGGCGCTTAAAGACAACACAGATATTGTTAAAGAAAGCTAAATGAGCAAAATGTAAAGAGTGTGAATTAGAAAGCGTGAGATGAGTTAACATCAGGGAACATGAACGCAGTGAGAGGAACATGTGCATCTTAGTGGAAGGCATGTTAATAAGTGGCCCGGGGCAGATTTGGGCTCCCACGGGGAGAGTCCTGCCCCTGCGCTGTAAAGCTTCTGTCTCTTCCCTAACCCGCCCATTAAACACGGTACACAGGTGGCTTATTAAACCACCGTGTCAGACGACCGCAGTGCGCTCAGATCATTCACCACGCTGCAGTGTCAAATGCACTGGTGCCATAATGCAAGTTATTGGTGTAGCTGGCCGTATCTTGACTCTCCGGCACCTTTTACTTCATGTTTAATGCTGAGTTTGATAAAACACTGCAGGGGATCTTAAAGATTTTTATCCCCAGACCCAAATTTGACAAATTTAGTCTCCACCCTGAGGACGCGGGCTCGTTAAAACAGGCTATTAGTCCCGTCTTATGGGGACCCACCAGACACGCACTCTTTTTTTCTTCTTCTTTCTGTCGAATCCCAAGTCGTACTTTTATGAAAAGCTCAGCAGAACGCCGTACTCTGTCTGGACTCGTGTTTATCAGCAGTCTTGTATTATTTACTGAGAAGCTGAGACACCCCCCCCAAACCCCTCGGGTCCATTTTTATTGTTTTATCTCGTTATTTTTTTCTTTCTAACTACATCCTCCTGCCTTTTTATTCTCATTAACAGCATAACTTCAGCAAGTCTCCCATGAGCATGGGCCCTCGAGAGCTGGGCTATGGGCTTGATGATGAGGAGCTGGACAATGCAAGCAAGTGAGTGAAGCCATTTTCAGTTTTGGATCGATATTTCAAGATATGACAACTTGGGGTGATGGATTCAAAAGTTGGTTATGTGCAGAAGTGCTTTTGTCCTCCTTTTTTCTTTTTCCCTCATGGCGACACTGCCCCCTAGTGGACACACTGGGCAGGAGCACGTTGATGGAATTGTGATGTCATTTGTATGATGTTGAGCAGCATATTGCATTTGACCCTCTCATAAAAACGTGGTTATCTTGTGAAAAATGATCTCTTGGACGCGCGTGCACACAGATGAAGGGGTAATCGGACGTTTCGCTCTTTTTCCTCCAAACGCAGGGTCTCCTCAGAGGACAGCGGCGACGTGCCGTCCTACAACGAGGACAGCGATGACTCGTACTCCCTCGATCTGGACATCGACTCCTCTCAGTCGGGCCAGATGAACCTTCTGGAAGAAATCCTGGATTCTCTGACGACCACGACGATGGACCAAGGAAGACTCAGTGCCGCCAAGAGTCTGGACTTCTTCTTGTCCGTGGATGATTTAGACTACAAAGCCCCGGTACGCAGGAAAATGTAGATTAGGACGAGTCTCGTTTTACAGGAAATAGAAATGCTTTCTGCGTCTGCTTTCACCTTTTTATTTGCTAAGTTGTGAATAAATCCAACATATCTAAAGACGGCTTCATTCTGACTTGAGGTCAAAGGTCATCATATGCATTAGTCAATAAAGAATAACAGCGAGGGTGAACATGTGGTGACTCTCCTGCCTCTTGTTTGCCAGACCAAGCCCACGCCCTGCAGCGAGTCCAGACCTGCAGATGAGAGCAGCTGTAGTGGAGGCGGCGATCAAGGCGGGTGGAATACGGGTCAGGATGACACTGTGGTCCACGGGAAACACCTTCCACCGTCCCCACGCAGGCAGCCCACCAAGAGCAGCCTGAAGATGTCAAAAAAATCCGCAGCAGTCCCTGCGGCGCCCGCTGCTAGCCCACCAGCCCAGAGTGCCGACGTCTCAGTGCCGAATCCTCATCAGTCCGACCCCGACCCGCTGCCTACAGCGTGGAAACCGGGAGATTGTTTCTCTTACTCGCCAACGCTGTCCCATCGAGTCGCACCTCTGCGGTCGTCCCCCACTCTCGCACAAACCTACAGTTCCTCAGCATCCGCGTCTGACCCAAGCTGCTCTCCTGCACCGGGGGTGCGGGCGCGGACCATCTCGGACCCTCAAAGCGGCTCGGAGCCTCAGCAGGCCAAGAACCAGACTGCCTCGACCTACGTGCTCAGGAGGAAGGTCATGTCCAAGGAGACGACGAGGCAGTACCAGCAGAAGGCCCTCCAGAGGCAGGAGAGCAAAGAGGGCATGGGGAGCCCGTCGAGGACCAGCCATTCAGCCGTGCAGGTCCCCTGGGAGAAGGAGATGTCCAAAGAGGGGCTCCTCGGGCTCGGCCTGTGTTTGGGTCAGGGTAAAGGCTCGGGGGCCCCCGCGGCGCAGGATCAAGGTCTCCTGGAGGAGATCGACTCCACGTGTTGCCTCGGCGCGGTCCTCCACACCAGCCTGCAGCTCTCGCAAGTTAACAACAGTCACCACCAGGTGCAGGGCAAAGCTGCAGACGACTCCTGAGTCTGTAAAACGCAGCAGGTTTACTCTTCTTTTACGACTAGCAGCTATCTGCAACAAAACTATTCTTTTTCCCTTTGTTTTTAATCTCGACACTCGGCTCCGAGCATACGTCCAAACCTGCCAACACAAACAAAAAGCCACCGAGTGAGGAGCAGGAAGAGGACGTGGTGCGCCGCAGAGATCTCCCTCTATGAGCCGTCTGCATATTTTAAACTCAAACCTGATTTATAGCGATTGGAAAAAAACAAATCAACTAAACGTCGTCGGCTCTTTCCTCTGGAATCGGATGCAAGTGCAGCGTCTCGTGAACTGTGATCCAAAACCACAGACCACAGCCGAACTGTTACCATCCTCGTTTAACCTGCTTCACCAGTTCATGACTTGTTTAAAAAAGTACAACTGCAAACAAAAGTTACTTCAGCAGACGGAGATTTTCAGTATTTCTTTCTAATGATCTTTAATAACGTTTTGTGTCGTCTAGTATTTTTCACATGTTCACCCCAAACGATGCACTAAACGCATTTTCGATAAAGTCGCGGCTGACGGAGGAGTTTGGAAAAGCCTCCGGAGCGTGTCAGGAGTAAGAAGGGACGCTGCGTCGCTCCAAACATTTCACATGATGAATTTGCACATGTGGATTAACAGCTGATGATTCCTACCAGGTACTAAAGTCTTTAGCAAAAAAGCAGGTGAGGCGGGCCTTTTGACTCGCCGTACGCTACGTGACATGTCTGCCTTACACGGACATGTGATTTCTTTTTTAAACTCTGGTGTCTTAATCTACAGATGCCACAGCAGGTACTTTGTAATCAGAATCACTGTCGATTTAATAGAATAATGAATGATACATGATGTGCTTTAAGCTGCTGTCAGTCGCGTCCACAGTGATGTCCAAATCTCCTCAGGACACTTTGTTTTCTCCACACTGAAGAGACCCCAGTCAAAGGTCAAAGCCAGTATCCCTGCTCCAGGCTTCTCCCCCATCACGACTCTCACTTTGACCTTAAAATTACGGCCAGTTGTTGCCGATTTCATGACGTTTTATGCGGGTGAATAAAGGTGAACTTTCTAGGAGGTGCTCTATATTTTTACGATGAACAAATCCCCTGAAAAGACCAAAACTATCAGGCTTTGTGTGTCTCGCCACTATCACACTCCTGTGTTCAGTCTTTGGCTGGTTTTTGGTCTTTTCACAGTATTTGCTGACGTGTCTTTCTTCGCCTTTCTCACACGAGGGAATAACGGTCTGTGCGTGGGTCGGAGTCACGCTGCACTATAATGCAGCGGTTGATGATTGTACTGTAATGAAGCAATATAGTTCTCAGAGTAGCCACATGGATGTAATGTGCACAGAGTCTGAAGCATTCCTGTAACAGACTCTCCTGTGGAGAGAAACGCCGCGTCCAGCCCTCGCGGCTTCCCGTCATTCACCGCGTCACCGCAAACCCAGAGAGAAGCAGAGCGCTTTTCTTCTTCTTTTCGGGAATATTACATTTATGGTTCGTTGTTCTTATGATTTATGCCAGACGCCAGTCGGTGTGGCAGTTTAATAGCAGCCATTTCTCCACTTTCTGAGTGCTGCTCTGCGTTAACGATTTGCTCATAAAATCACTGGCGTGCTTCTAAAAGCCCAAGAATCGGTTAGCGAATCCAAAACGGAGGAAAAAACCAAAACAGACTCCAGAAGCGTTTGTGTGCTGCCCTCTGTGCTCTGTAAACATTAAGAAAATACTTCTGTACTATGCAAACATGCCAAATACTAAAGTTTCTCTGAGAGTGATTCGATTTCACTTGAGTATAAAGTCACGATTGGACTGCTTTCTGCCCCCGAACGAATAAACAACCACATTTAAAGAGAAAGCTGGTCCGTGTGCTGTGCCTTACGCAGGTACGCTGTAGGAAGCTGGGCTGTGCGTGTTTCTGACCACCGCCCGGACCTGAGAAACGAACCTGACACGAACTCGCGTTGTTTTGGTTGGTCGTTGGGTTTCGGCTGCGCTCAGCTGGTTCCACTCAGTGTTTTTAGGGTTTCTTTGCTGCGGTGGTCGCTGGGAATCTCCCCGCTCGTGTTTAAGAGAAGATCTCGGGGTTACTTTATCCTTTTGTAAATGAGGTACTTTTCCTTTGGTTGTTAGCGGATTCCTTATGTTGTGTGTGCTCTTTTTTTTTAAATAAAAAACTTGTGCTGAGCTTATTCTGTATTTAAAAAAAGAACAATTCTCAGAGGAGTTGATTTCATAATGAAAAAATTATTTTCAGCTGAATAGACGTATTTTTGCTGGCTTGAGTATATTTTACATGGATAATATATGATCGGTGTTGTATCTTGTAAAAACAAATTCTATCTAATATTTGAATGTTTTAGATTTTATTTTTGGAGGAAAAAAGAGATATGGACAAATGTCCCATGTAGCCGTTCACATTCAGATGGACGTACTGACGCCTGCTCGTACACAGTAAACACGGCTGTGGCCGCGTGGACGCGCTGCTTGTGCTTTCTGTTGCTTTCATTTCGGTATTTCGCGCCTCCATCGTCATCAAACAGAATGGTGGACGCGAACATCCGGTCTCTTATGTTACGTCGCGTGTTGGAGTGAAATGTAACATTTCATGTAAAATGTAACAAACAAAACTAGCTACTGTAAATCTAACGGCGGAGGGGTGAGAGGGAATATTCGAGTGTCCAGCTGCTGTTGTGAAGATCATTTGAGAAGCTTTACACTAAAACAAAGAACCCCGAGCGTGTCTGACTCTGTAAACGGGACTCGGGTTGTCCTGAAAGCGTGTATTTGCAGTGAGTGGGAGGTGGTGGATTATGTAGCATCTTTTACTGAGTGTGGGTTCATGCACAGGTTCTTCTTTACAAAGATGACGATGTCACGACTTTTACACTGAATGTTACAGTCGGCAATTAAAAATATATATATATTCCCCCCTCCCCCTGTCTCGGAATCGTGATGACGATCAGCTCTTCGATAATGCATTTATTGATTTTCCCGATACTGTGCACACTTGCATGTTCCCACTGCAGAGGAAACAACTGTCTTAAGTAACTGAGGTCAGTCTAATGTGCTATTGATGAGTAACCTGGTACAACTGCACACCATGTATGCACTGTGAACTGAAATAAATGATACTGTTTGATGCTTCTGCATCTCCCGACTCCTGACGCTTTGTGCTCACGTGGACAGAATCAGTATTTGATGGTGTTTTACAAACCACACGGGGACTTCCTGTGGCGTGGGTCCGTTTTAATCATTTCATTGGGTGATGTTCTCAATAAACAAGGCTATAGCTCTAAATAACAATCTCAGAGTTTAGTTTGTATGATGTCACTCTTCTCAAATGTGTTTGCGAGGGGCAGCCAATCAGAAGAACAAACGCTACTTAAAGGGGGAGGAGCAAGAATAGTTTAAGAAACCCAGGAATCATTCCGATATGGAAGCCCGTTTCCGCCACTAAAAAAAAAAGGATCCATAACTCAAAATTCCGAGTTATTTTCTCGAAATTTCGAGTTACTTTCTTGAAATTTCGACATATTAACTCGAAATTTCGATTTATTAACTCAAAATTTTGAGAAAAGTAACTCGAAATTTCGAGTTAGCGCTGCCAATCAGTAATCTATGTGAATGACGTCATTTCCTCGTTACCCGGAAGCTGAAGCCATCAGCTACAAATGCTACAGCTAAGCTACCGGTATTACATCAAGTCGTGATTGCACAGATTGCTGAGTGTTTTCAGCCTGGCTTCACAAATGATGAAATCCTTGTGTTATTAGCGGAATCACATGGTGTTACTGTCAGCAAACGTACTCGCGAAAGCGCCAATTTGTTGGGATCCGTTTTTGAGTGCGCGTTCCTCTGCGCCATATGCTTCCGGGTAACAAGAAAGCGACCTCATTCACGTATATTTTTGATTGGCAGAGCTAACTCAAGATTTTGAGAAAATAACTCGAAATTTTGAGTTATGGATACTAGCTGTTTTGTTTTTATTTAGTGGCGGAAACGGGCTTCCATATTCCGAGGATGGAAGTACAGACGTGGAAATGAGTGTAAGACGTTCTGCTTTGTAGACGTCGAATGAATGACAACAAACTCAGTTTAATAAACATTTTGATCGAACTCAAAAGTTGAAAATGGAAAAATCACAGTAATAAAAATCATCATTACAGTATGTACAACTTCAATGGCTGCCTAGACAAATATAATGCTACTAATCCTAAAACATGAATCTGGGACTAAAGAGTTGCCACTGAAAAATTAACTTGGCACCAAAGTGGATTCATCAGAAACACACAAACAGTCTATAATCGTCCTGTTGGAAACGAATCCCATGAAGCTTTTATAGCTTCCACCTCTACACCGCAGAGGGGCCCAGTGTGCAGACATCGTGGCCTATTCTAATGTACTTGATCATAACCAACCCTTCCTTATACACACTCACGGTGCTTTCATGATTGATGTGTTACTGAGAGGCAGAGCAGTATGTTTGATTCATTCATTCACAGAACATGCAGAACAGTAGCAGGTTTATCCTGACTTGTTTCCAAATGAGGCTCAAAGACGATGCGTTCATGTGCCCTAAATTCCAGCGCGTTTTTTTCCTTTCAGCGTTCGCTGCTCCATCAATCCTAAATATATGGATCAGGCACAGAGATGTGACACACGCAGATGGGTATGCTTGTGTGGAACCAGGTGCAAAGCATCACAAAGATGGATGAAGGTGCTGGAAATGAAAACGCCGAGATCTTCCTGCGTATATGCAAATAAAGACAGGCGGCAGTGATTTAACGTGGAGCCTCCGCGTCTCCACCGAGCTCCAGACTTCCTGTTCAAACTGCACCACTTATTTTTCATTGCTACCTGGACCACGTTCTGCATCTCAAATCAGTCTCTCCATGGGCGGCGGCTGCGTGATGCTCCACATCTCCACCCGCGACCCTTCCTTCTCCTGCCGGCTGGGACTGTAGGTGCCGTGGGTGGCGCGGCGATTTAGGGCTACTACCGCACCCACAGAGGTCAGGACGATGGCCAGCAACAGGACGACGGACCCCAGACTGATAGACAGCAAGAGGTCAGAGGTCAAACCCTCCGAGGTCAGCTGAGGAGAAGAAAGACAGGGACGAGTCAGGGAGAGAGAGAAAAACGGCTCGTGCCAATGTTTTTGAGAACACATGCTTTATTCCCCCGCCTCCATTTCTCACACACTCCCTTCCTCTCCTGACTCCTTTACGCTACACCAGGCGCTCCAAGTGTGCTGCCAAAGTGTTGATGGATGTGTTTCCCAGCTCAGCAGGTGGGTTGCGACCACCAGGAGCCTCGAGTTGCCGCGGACTCAAACCTCCCTCCGTCTGCCGCCTCTCTCGCAGTTTGGCTGGCGCGAGCGTCAGCCCCAGCATCGCCACCGCGATTGCCAAGCCAACCAGATACGGTGCCAGCACGGCGGTCACCGGCGAGCTGTGTGGAGCACGCTCCGTCTGTGAAGGATCACACACACAGGCGCAATCTTTGCCGAGGATCCCATCAGCACACACACATGCCCAAAATAACTCGAGCAAACATACGCACACAGCTCCTTCAAAGCAGCACTGAAAGCTGCAGAGTCTGAGTTGTATCTGTGGACTTTGATGACTTGCTAATATTCTTATCTCACTCAGACTTGTGGCCGTTTGAGCCTCGCACACATGCAGAATGCAGCATCCTGCACGCAAACGCACAGAAGCCGCTCACCAGTCAGACCCCAACGAATCAGGATGTACTTAAGCTTTCCAGCAGGGGGAAGCTGAGCAGCAGATGCCCTTAAACCTACATCAGCTGTGCTGGTTGGTGTGATAGTTGTGATTCTCTGAGCACCTGCTACAACAGCACAACAGCTGTAAGTCTCACTCGGTAACACTTGCTGACAGCATCTTCATAACCGACACACGGGGCTGCGAAAAATTATCTCAGAAGTCAGCAAACTTTACAGCGAGCAATCAACATGGAAACATAATTCTAATAAAAACACAACCATCCGTATCCCGAGGCAAAAAATAACTTCTGCGCTCACGCTTGATGCTGTAGACATTAGTTTCTTCCCCCCTCGCTACAGGTTCTTTGTTGACTCCTGGAAAGTGCTTACCTGTCACTGCAGCACACTCGCCTGTCAGAGCGAGTGTGACACAAGCGAGCTGGAGCAGCCTGCAGCCAGGACCCGCCATCAGTCACCGACTGCCACACACAGACCCAGAGATGTCTAACTAACCAGTCTCTAAGGTACGTGTCGAGGCCACCCTGAAGCCTCTGCAGAGCGGCTCCGCACACAGAGACGGCGGCAGCAGTGCTTCCCTGCTGTCAGCACTATCAGCCTGCTGTGTGTGTGTGTGGCTGCCAGATAAGCTGCCCTCATAGGTTTCTGTGAAGAAGACCCAACTTGTGTGAATGCCACCAGCTCTCTGCTGAAAGTGCACTTCAGCGCCAGATGCTGCTTTTTTGCTGGCAAAGCACATTTCTTCCTCTGTGCTTATCTCGCGCTCCAAGGATGGCCACATCAGTGCCGACGCTGAAAAACTGCCTCCCATTTCCTCCCCCCGAAACTACCTGCGCTTGCAGAGCACACACACACACACGCACGCACACACACACACGCACGCAGACTTGTAAAAATACAAGATGGAAGAGAGCAGGTGTACACGGAGAGGCCGCTGCATGCACAGAAGTATGTGAGGATTACACTGGTAATCTTCAGGACACTGAGGCCGGAGGAGTCGCAGACGCATGTGTGACCAGATCCCAGCACCGTCTGACATCTTCCAACCCACAGATACAATAAACTATCCGTATGACCTAATTATCATTTAGTCCCATTATATTTATATTTCCAACCCTCTTGTTAAGAAATTATAACAAGTATAAAACGAAAGCGTTGTTCTCATGGTGATGGTCTTTATCTACTATTGTGTTGTGTTACGTCAGCTGCTCTGTCTGGTAATAGTTTTTAGCGTTCAGTGCATCCATAGATTTACCTTTTTATAGCCATATCTGACTATTTTAGCTATTTTTATGCAGTTTCACCTTATTTGCCTCATGTTTGAAATGTAAAAATAATTTTAGCAGAAATAGATGTAAATTTCTCAGGATGTACTGCCGCTTAATTTCCTTTGTGGTAGTTTTCCATTATATTCATCTATATCTGCAAAGACCTGACTTTCCCTGGTAAGTACGGCATTAAACATTCATTTAACTATAATTTAAAGCCTTCCCTTCATACACATTGGTCAGTCATTCAGTCAAAACACAGAGCATTGTGTCAGGATGGGGAAATCTGAGGTTCGAGTGCAGCAGCAGTGCCTCTGTTACTGATGACAAATGAGAAAGCAAAACTTCCAAACAGCGGTTTTAAGACTAGATGTGAAAAACTGTGAGCCTGTCCTTCATGCACAGATAAAAACGCTGTAGCTGTGCGCTGTGTTTGTGTGTTTGTGTGCACTTGTGGCTATTCTGGGATAAACTCACTCGGCATCTTGTTAAATGAGATTAAGAGTCTATGTTTGGTGTGGCAGCTACCACCTGACCTCAGTGTGTCCACTCCTTCAAACGCAAACACACACTTAGAAAATCACTGAGAAGAGTTTGACCTTCAGCTGTAATTTCTCCTAATATGGATTTTTGAAGGGAAACGGACAAAATGTGCGATTATGTGAAGAACAAGTTAGTCGAGAGAAACAAAGAGGACAGACGAGTACAAAACAATCAAGGCTGAAAGGTTTTTATTTGACAAGAACAAACAGAGAGACGACAGGCAGACAGGACACAACGATGGATTATGATGGAGGAAACAGACAAACAAGAAGTTACATGGATCATGCAGCATGATGTCAGCACAACAAGACTGAACGACAAACAATAAACACACAAAAGTCTACAGTGAGAGAGAGAGACATACAAAATGCAACGAAACGGTGACCACAGCAGCGGTGAATGTTGATAGGAAGCGTTGGCGCGGGGCCACGAGAGAATTTAGGCTTAAAATATCTGCGGCTCAGACAGCAAAGTGTTTTAGAGACGAAAAACTCCTTCTTTGGTACAAAACAGCACACAGTAGTCAGTCAGTCAGTCGGCGCAGTGCTCTGAACGCACATCAAGAACAAAGCGAGACATCTTGTTGTCTTCTAGC